ACAGGTGTAAAATAAAGAGATGTATGAATGTCCCTTGGCCTCTGTCTCAAATACATGCCAACGAGCTGCATTTAGAACTGGACTGGACCGATCATGGGGTCAGAGGAGTCACAGGTACAATGGAAGATCTCAGAAGACAACAGACATGAAAGTTTGGATGGAGAATTGCAAAAAAACACACATGTTATGAGCAGACCATCTGTGGAGTTTACCAAATCCATAGAAATGACCAGCATCGAACATTCTCTATTGACTGAACAGTTAATTCCATTTTTAAAGGAGCAGGGCCGAATCTTAAATTTTACCGGGTTTCACACGTTGACATTTTGGCACACACGTTCAAATGCACAAGAGTCACAGGTTTCTCAGTTTTCCGTCTCATTCAGAAGAACTGTCTGATCAAATCACGTCAATTTATTTTTGTAAGTTAGTAAGTAAGTAATGTTTATTTATATAGCGCATTTTACAGACCAAGGTCACCCAAAGCGCTTTACAATGTTCAGAGTTCAGATATTGTTCCAATCGTTCCACACACGGTGATGACAGAAGCGAGTCCAGAACACACTGGACCATCAGCTCCAATCAACACCATCCATTCACTCTCTCATTTACAGTCATACCTATTGTACATGTTTTTAGTGGTAGGGGAAACCTACACAGACACGGGGAGAACCTGCAAGCTCCACTCAGAAAGGCCCTGTTCCGACCGGGATTCGAACCCAGGACCTTCTTGCTGAGAAACGAGAGTGCTATCCACTCAGTTGTGCCCGAAACCACATCAGCAGTCGTCTCAAATTGCGTCACAGATTATTTCATTTGCCAATAGCAGTTTAGATATTCACTCTATTACACAGATTACTGAGCTGAGAACACAGAATTTCGAGATAAATCAAGCTATGATGAATCTTTATTGATCTTATAGTGGAGAAATGTAAATAATCAATGTTTACGAGTAAATTATAGGTCTACTTAATGTAAGAAATGTACATGCACATGAATACACTTATATTTGCTGTTGACAATACTTCTGATATTCTCTAATTGTCCCATCAAACACCAACCAAAAAACTGGCACATTCAGACTCTCTCATTGAAGTAAAATGGGTTTAAATGTTTTATTTGTATGTTTGTTTGTATGTATGTTTTTATATTGAGTACATGAGTTTTTACTCTGCAATGATGGCTGTTCAAATTTCTTTTCTCAATCCAAGGGTTGGTCAAGACCAACGCAATTGTTTTCAGCCTCATGCTTTGTATCGAATCTGTTTAATCTGTGCATAATGTTTTCTGACTTTTTAAACAAATAATGCGTCTATGTTCCAATCAATAACTCAAAGGTGTTTTTTTCAATGTGCGATGACATGTTTAAACAAATATGGCCTGCATATCACATCAGGGGTTCAATTTCCCACTGACAGAGAGGTTAAAGTTCATGTGAAACAGCCAAGAATATGAAAATCATACATAATATTGACCCTTTAAAGACAATATGAACTGTACCCTTATAAAGACAGTCTTTCATCAGGGCAAAATAAATATAACTTGTGTTTGTCTGCGCACTGACCCTGTCCCAGATACTTGGGTTCAGTGGAGAAGCTACGTGATCCCCCTGGTGACTCTTCAGGCATGTATTAAAAGCACCTCTCATATGAAGTCACAGGATCCAAAAGTCTGCCAAATCTCCGCAGGACACAGCGGTCAAAAGGTCTTCCTCTGAGGTCCAGGAGCTTCATCTGCAGGGAAGATTCAACAGAAGATGGCGCTCATGAGCAACCACTGTATATACAGAGAATGAGGTCATTGCCTAACAGATTAGTTATTTTCATTTTTTAAACCATTTTCTGGACTCTGTAATGTGAATTAATCTAAATTTCTAACTTTCAGCTAAAGCTAACGGCCAGCCATGCAAAAACAAGCAAGATTGCTGCAGTTTCCTATTTGAGGCAATGGGTTTCATGCTGAGCACTTATTTAATAGTAATCTAGCTACAAAAGGCTTTCAAAATACAAGGGTAATACAACTTGAACATTTGAATATTGTGGTATGTTGTTGGCTTTATATTTATTTATATTTAGGAACATTGTTTGGCTGGAAAGTAAATGTCCCAGCATTATTTTTTAAAATTTGCTGCAGTAAGTTTTCTGCCCCGTCCATCGTCCATCAGTGTTTATATTTTTCCCTATTCCTTCGGAAATTAAAATCAGCCCCAAAGCATGATGCTCCCCCCACCACCTATGACACTCAGGTGCACTGAGGGTGATTGTGAAGCACTTGATATTTATTTGTAAAAGGTGATTTCAAAAGCTTACAATATAATTATTTGGAAGCACACTAATTCAATACAACATTAACATTGTTTATGCCATAAATGTTGCTGATGTTAAGTTCCACCACAAGGAAAGCAACACAGTGCTCCTTTGAAGATGCTTTTTACACACTTTCAACTATTCACTCCACAAATGATGGTGGTAAATTCTGCGTTCTACATTGCTGCAAATCAAAGCCACATCACTGTGACCATCACTAGATAGATGTTCCCTGTGGATCCTGAAGTCATAATTAAGTGGATAAATTTAGAAAGAAGAATCCTAACCCTAGTCAAGGTAGTTTAAGTGTCCTGCAGCCTGGACAGCAGCATCCAGAAGACAAGAAGGTGAACAGGTGAGACCTTACTTTGGAAGTTTATCCCAAAATTTGACAGAATTGTACTCTGATTTGCTCAAATTGCATTCATATTTGGTTCCAATCACATAATCCCTCCAAAAAAGGTCCAAATCAGACTACAACATCCAAAAATTTGACAATGTTGATAATTTGTGCAAAACAAAGCATATCCAAGCTATTCAAATCAAACAAATGTATCTTTCACTGACAGATCATGGATGTTTGATGAATTACAGTGATACAATTATGGTTTTATGGGTTATGAGCCCTTCTCACTCACATACACACAGTAAGTTTAGAGGGAGGGATGGGAGGAGGAGAGAAGCTTAAACTTTGCAGCTGTCCTGGGATGAGATAAATAAGCAGGGCAGCAGGCTACATTAACAAAGCAACATCAAAACACATTGGACACCTCTTTACTTGTTCAAAGAAAGTCACCCTAGTTTTGGCTAGGTTAGATTCGATTTTAATGTTGGAACATCTGAAAAGGAGGATTGTGACTAGATTTACAGCAGCTCTGAACAGAACTAATGGCTGTGGCTGTTCCATGGTCATATCAAACTTGGAGCAAATTCAAAAAGCAAAGTGAAGAAGACAAGAGGAGAAGACTTAAGTGGATGCAAAGAGTGATGCGGAGGGACGGAGTGAACGCAAAAGATGCATTCCAACAAGAGACAGAAGAAGAGGAGGATGATGCGCTTTCAGACGGAGAGATTGAAGATAAAAGGTTTGAACAAGATGGACAATTCCTGGAAAGATGTGATTTTGAAGATTGTGTTCGAGCAAAGTGTGATGAAGCAGCAGCTAATTGGCAAAAACTTGAAGATGACAAAGTGGTTGATTGTGTTTCTGACTTTCAAGAAAAAGGACAGGATGTTGTTGAATACACAGAAATGAACATGGATGGAATGTTGGGAAAAGAGCAACTGGAAGCTCAAGATCCAATGCCAAGAGTGTATCGAGAAAACCAAGGAACAAGTGGAAGTCATGAAGAATATTTTGAAAAAGATAATTCATCAAAAAGTCACCATTTAAGAGAAAATTCAAAACGTGAGAAAGGTGAAAGTGACCCAGCAGTTGAAAGTCTTTCTGATGAAGAAAGTCAAGGCAATGGATTGGAAAAAGGGAAAAAGCAAGATTTTAACCAATATGCAAACAAGCTGAAATTGGAAAAGACTGACTTTGAAACACCAGGTCCAATGCAAAGAGTTTACAGAGAAAATGGAAGCACCAATTTTTTGAAAAAGAAAATTTCCGAGTTAGATTCACTTGGCCTTTCCGATGATCCCAAACTCAACCTTACAAAAAATGACTATGCTGATCAAGTAAATGACAGTCTAGAAGAGTTTCGTCTAGATTCAGCAGTTGGAGGAGCTGCAGATCTTGTGAATCAAAATATGGAGGACTGGCTCTTTTATGTTCAGGTAGAGGAAAGTGATGCCTCAGATAAAGACGGTGCAATCACATTTGGGAAAAGCGAGTCCAAACAATGTGAGCAAGACTCAGAATATTCTTATTTAACCTGTGGTATGTTAAAGAATGGGGATGTACTTCACAATGACTTCTACAATCGAGATCTAGAACCTTCAAATAAACAACGAGATGTGTTGGAAAAAGACTCATCTTGTAGACACTCTGCTTCAGGTATTTCCGGAAATGGGAAAACTGTTTATGAGGAATCCTATTGTCAGGATTTAAAGAGGGGTAAAGAAGAAAACACAAATGCATCTGAAGGTTTTAGAGAACACAGAACAGAAGAGAAAAATGTTGTCAAACCAAAAAACCAGCAACTAGAGGAGGAAGAAGACACCTCAATTGATAAAGACGATGACATTTTAAGCTCAGAAGTCGATTGCTACGAATTGAACGAGGTTAAATCCTGCACACAAGATAATCACGCAACTGAGATTTTCCACACTTTAAGAGAGTTCCAAAATGCGCACATTTTGACTGATCTCGAATTGAAAACAACAGATGGAAAAAGCATCCACGTTCATGCCATTGTATTGTCGGCTGTAAGCTCCCTCGTGGTTAAATGTCTTCGTAAGCGTCACAGCTGGTTCTGGGACAAAAAGGTTGAATTGATTGAACTGGGTAAAGAAGTGGAGTACAAGGCGTTAGTAGCTGTGGTTGAATTTGCGTACACTGGCGCCATCCAATGTCTCAGCCCTGACAATTCGGGGGAAATCAAAACCACGGCTCAATATTTATCAGCACCGAGAATAATAGAGATCTGTAATCGGGAATTGTCGAAAAGTAAAGAAGGAGATAATAGGCAATTTGTCACTGAATTGAAATTACATTTGCAGAAAATAAGAGAACTTTGGACAAACGAAATGGGCTTTGATGTCACATTAGATGTTCTAAGTGCATCATTTAAAGGTAAGGAACCATTCAATAGTCTCACGTTAATCATAAACCATCCTTAATCTACTTAGTACCCACTAACACTGTAAATATCGTAACTTATATGGCATTTTTTCAGTGTAGCTTAAGGGTTCTGCACAGTATCCTAGCACTGCACATTTCTGCACACACACACACACAAAGTAATGCTCCACGATACTCCACACTTCTACTATGATGTCTTTTTCTCATATGCAATTTCTCATTGATTGAATATAATTGGTCTTGCATTAGTCAGGGACAAAATGTATTTAATCAAGTGGAGAGGTAATTCCAAATATTAGTGGGGAGGGTCTATTTTGCTTTTGTGTGCTCTTAATCTTTACTTGTTTTTTCAGTTCACAAAGTCATCTTGGCGGCCTGTAGTGATTACTTTCGTGCCATGTTCACGTTGGACATGAGGGAGGCGTCTCAGTCCAGCATTTATCTGCAGTTTCTCTCGGCTCCACAACTCGAAGCTCTTCTCCACTGCTCCTACACAGGCTCCGTCTCCCTCAGCTGGAACTGCATCTTTGAATTCACCATCACCGCTCTGAAACTGCAATACCAACCCTCTCTCGACCTCTGCCTCGGGTTTCTTCAGCGAGAAATCAACCCGAATTCTTGTCTTGATGTTGCATCTTTTGCAGAAGCTTTCGGCATTGTCAAACTCTTGGACTACGCTGAAGATTACATGCTACGACAGTTTCAGCAGGTATCACGAACGCCAAAGTTTAAAGATCTCCCTGCCAGGAAACTTCTGAAATATTTGAACAGTTTTTCTCTGTGCGTAACATCCGAGTTGGTTGTTTTCAGAGCGGTGGTCAAGTGGATTCAAGCAAAGCCCAAGCGAAGATTGAAGCTTGCCAAAGAACTCATGAAAACAATCCACTTTCCATTGATGACTTTCAAGGAGTTTAAGGAAGTGCAAGCTTTAAACATGTGGTCAAATTATAGCCTTAAAGAACTGTATGATGCCATTTTTAAAGATTTCTGCTCCAATGAAGTCGAAATGCAAAGCCAATGTCGGATTTATCTGCCAAAAGAGAGCTTAGTCCTGAGCGGAGGTGATCGGATATCGGAAGATTTGGGCACTAGAAGCATCAGCAAAGATTTGTGGTTTGGCAATTCGTTGAGAAACCACACAGGAATAAAAAAGGCAACAGAGTGGAGGCAGCTTTGTGAGATGCCACAGACCGCCAGGTACAGCCACGAGGTTGCAGTGCTCCATGGAAAACTCTATATCCTCGGGGGAAAGAAGTACTACGGCACCGCAGACACTATTAACTCACTTTTCAGGTAAAATCATTGCTGAGATTTCATAGAATTTCAAAGTGGGCTGAAAGGGAAGTGTGTGTATCCAGTTTTGTTTCATCTGGAATATTTCACATCAAAAGGAACCTATGAACACACATCCGCAAATCATGCACCTATTCTATTATCAGGATTGAGAAATACAGCTTTAGCCTGCCTCAGAGGCCAACCGCTGTATTGCAAGCCAAAATTAGCATGCACTGAAGAAGATTGTGTACCCTAGGCCTAGGCCCTACCCTAGATCCGATTCAAAAATAGAGTTGCATTGTGCATCTTTAACTTTGATGGCTTAAGTGTTAGATGACTACATTATCACATCCTCACCATTTGTGTTTCAGATACGACCCTCTTGAAGACAGCTGGGAGGAGCTGTGTTCCATGTCGCAGGCCAGATGCTCGTTCTCGCTTGTGGTACTCGAGTTTAAGTTGTTCGCCATCGGAGGACAGTGTCATCCAGACTACCTGGAGACTGTGGAACAATACTGCGCCGCTGTGAACTCATGGAGGTACAGCTGCAGAACTGTTGGTCCTATTTATATACCCCTAGTTTATACATGCCTAATTAAATTGATTCAACCAAAGACTGCATGGATATGGAAGCTAAACCACAAAATTGATAAACCTTATTACAGAAGTACTCAAAATATTTAATCTAATTTTCATATGATTTATTGTGTGTCAACCACACACGCAGAAGATCTGTCCAACACCAACAACAATCACACAATCAACAAAATGCCAATTATTGACCTATTAGCATACTGCCTATCTTCTCAAAGATAGCAGAAAAATGGGTTGCCCATTCTATCATTAAATATCTTAATGATTCCAATCCGGGTCTGCACCCTATGCAATTCGGATTTTGATCTCTTCACTCGACTGACACTGCTGTCTGCGTCTTTGTTGAGAAGGTGAAGTCTTATTTAGACAAAAACAGTTATGTAGCGGCTGTTTTTATTGACTTTAAGCGTGCGTTTGATACAGTGAATCACCTTAAGCTCTTTTCTAGACCGTCAGCTTTTAAATTTAGCAATCAAACCATTTAATGGATACAATCTTATTTATCAGACAGAAAACAAACCGTGCAAATAAAGAATAGTAAGTCACCCAGCTTAACTATACGCAAGGTTTCCCTCAGGGATCAATTTTGAGTCCCCTCCCATTTTCCCTTTATGTTAATAACTTACCCAATCTGTGCAAAATGTGGACACGATTATGTATGCCGACGATACGGTAATTTTTACACAAGCCAAAAGTGCTGATGATGCAGCTTATCAGCTCTCATTAGCCTTGAATGATATACAAAAGTGGCTGAATGAGTCTTGCTTGTGTCTTAATGTTAAAAAGACTGTATCAATGTTTTTTACTAAACCTAAAACACCTGTGGCCACAGTAAAAGTTTGCTTGAGTGGAAAAGAATTAATTAATGTTGAGGAATTTAAGTATTTGGGAGTGCTAATAGACTCAAAATTATCCTTAAAAAAGCATGTGTTTGTTAATTTACGGAACTTCAGACATATCCGAACATCATTAACGGATACAGCAGCAATTACATTCATGCACTCTATGATACTTGCTCATATTGAGTACTGTATCACAAGCTGGTCTTATATGAGTCATGCTGCCATTGGGCCAATTGAAGTATGTTACAAAAGAGCTTTGAAAATATTAGACAAGAAGCCTTCGTCATACCATCATTGTCAAATCTTAGACAAATATAAATTATTAAATTTTGATCATTTCAAATTGTTTAAATCAGCATGCCTAATCTACAAGGTTATACATGGTCTAGCGTCTCCTCCAATGAGCGATTTTATTAAACCAAAGTCTAGTAGTACTGCCAGTTATCAAGTGACTCGAACCACTGCGAGAGGCGACTGTGAACTGGCATTTAGGCGGACCGCTTTCTCACAGAACGTCCTGTCATATCAGGGAGTGAGCTTCTAGAATAGTATTCCGGTGTCAGTGAGGGAAAGCACCAGTCTTTCTACCTTCAGGAGTCATTTAAAAATGTGGCTGAGGGACACTCAAACATGTGACCATGTTTAGATAGAGCTGGTGCAGTGCGGGAAACGGTTATCATTGTAATGTGGGCTGTGCAATACAGGTCCCATACAAGGTAGGTCAGTGCAATAAGGAGTGGTCCAACACGGGTTAGTGTAATGAGGGTCAGTGAAATCTAGAGTGGTGCAATACGGGTTAGTGCAATATAGAATGGTGCAATACGGGTCAGTGCAATATAGAGTGGTGAAATATGGGTCTGTGTAATATCAGGTCAGTCAGGGCATGTGCAATACTCGGGTTTGTGCAATACAGATTATGTGTTTCTGTTACTGTTTTCTACATTGTGCTTTTACTGTCCACTCTTGCATGCTTGCTGGTTCATGTGATCCTGTCCCTGTCTCTCTGTATATAAATAGTGTCTCTGTTTGTTTTTACTAACTTGTGTGTAACATCAATCTGCCAGGGGGTCTGCAGATGGAAATTAGCCTAAGGCTATAATCTGGCATATTTACATTTGTAAAAATGTTCATTAATATGTATTGTTCCCCCTTTCTCAAATAAATAAATAAATAAAAGGCCTGACTTAGCCTATCTGCTGCTTTTTGCTGATTGGTTTATGTCTCTGTTATTAGTCAAATTAGGCCTGCCTGTTCAAACCACCCTCATGGGTACCGCCCAGACTGACTTCTCTGACCAGAATAGACATTCTGGTCATTCGGTTTCTTAGCTGGCCAGGCTACTTATGCCTAACCTTTGCTTCAAAATTAAAGTGCCAAACCACCGCCAACGGAATGGACTTGGCAGAATCAGTGGGGAAAGAACTCCAGATGACAAATTTAACCTTTTATAACAAGAACAAGCCAAGATGACGAACAGTTCATATATTTTGCATTATATCACATCTTTCAATAATTTTCTTTTGCAGCTTCTCTTGTCCACTGGATCTACCTCTCGGGGGCCACGCGGCAAGAGTCTTAGCTGGACAGATATTCATTTCAGGTGGATTAAATAATGACTATGACTGCTTGTCCTCCGTGTTGGTGTACCACCCAGAAAAAGGCAGCACGTACTTAGAAAGCATGATCCATCCCCGTGCCCTTCACTGCATGGAGGTTTTGGGAGAATATCTCTATGTCGCGGGTGGATTATCAAAAACCAACTGTGCTGGAATGGTTGACATGCTGGGCTGCGAAATGTACAATCCCAAAGGCGATTCTTGGACAAGTTTTTCACCGTTGCCAGTTCCACACGTAGGGGCAGGATGTGCGGTTTTGGAGGGAAAGTTTTATGTTTTAGGCGGGTACAGCCAGGAGGATTACAGCGACACGAAAATGGTCCATCGCTACGACCCCTCCATGCAGCAATGGGAGAACATGGGGAAAATGCCGGGGCCGAACAATGATCTAAGAGCGTGTGTGCTCTGCTTGCCGGAACATTTGAGGCTATGTCTAGATTAGAGTCTTTACAAGTGAGGTTTTTTGTGTAGAATATTTTTGTTATGAAAATTAACAGCAGACAGTAAGGATAATTGATTACACACCCAGCAAAAAATGCTCAATCCCAATACAAATTATGAAAGAAATATTTTCTAACAGTGGTAGTTGTAGTTATAGCAGTAATCCTGATAATAACTAGAATGGAAATAAAAACAACTTTTAGCCTCAATGTCAATAAAGTAGTTTCTCACATCTCAATCATCAGGATTTGTTTATCTCTCACAACAATTAAGTACCATAACCTTATATCAACACACAGTTGCTTTATCAAATTATAATAAAAAAAATACCAAAATAAGTGGTACATTCTTAATTAGAAATATTATAACCTGGAAAACAAACAAGGATGTTTGGTGTTTTTGGGTTTGCAGTCTGCTACATCGCCACTAGAGGTCGCCAAACACATATTCTAGATGTCAAGTTCAATCTTGTAACCTGTTATTGAAGCATGTGAGGAACACTAGACACACAAATCGACACAGATACAGTATGCTGACGTGAATGGCACAGATAATGTAGTAGGAATTATTTGTCTTTGAAATGTGTACTGACTGAAATAAAAAATGTAATGTTTGCATCGACTCATTCATTTCATTTGATACTAACTTACCAGCACTAGTACAAAAGCATAGTTATATTTTAGCGGTTGTTGATTAAATCCATTTTTGCCAGTACACTTCATAAACATATGAGTATTATGAATCAAAGTTAGATTATCGCACACACATTTCTGCTGTTTGTGTGATATCAATAAATCATTTACCCATTTTTTGTTATTCCTGGTTATAACATTGTATTATAAGAGACATATTAGGTCGAATCATATTTGTTAAACTTGTAACCATGCTGCAACATTGCTCAGTCATTAACTCATTCACTGCCATTGACGTCTATAGACGTCAATCTAAATCCGAACGTTCACTGCCATTGACGTCTATAGACGTCAATCGCTTTTTTTTTGTTTTTTTCTTTCTATGGCTCGTCAAGGCTCTTGTGCATCCTGTGTCAACATTTCAGACCTGTAAACACTTTGGAACCGATCCTGTAGGGGGCAGAGGTGACACTGTGGCCAGATCCAGGGAGGGAGAAGGGGGCATGTGGTGCTGTGAGCAGCAAACAGCCAGAGGAGCAGCCATGCTTACACAGAGGATCGTGGATCTGAAAAGCTCACGCAGCTAACGCTGTTTGAGAGCCTGTTCAGTCATCAAACGGATAAATATGAAGCAGCTAGATGCCACGATGCTAGTTCTTCAGGTTTTAGTTAAAGAAGCTATACCCGATTTTTTTTCTAAGTAGTTCATAAAAATGCTTTTTACTACATACAAGTTGTATCATAATACATAATTTAATTGAAAACTTGAGGTAATTGATTCAGCTGTGTAAGAATTACAAGCAGAGAAAAGTGCTGAGTAGAGTCTGAGCGGGACGCTCTTTCTCCTCCACTCACAGAACGAGCAGTGAACAGCCTGCGTCCTCTAGCCTCTACAGCGCTGCTAAACACCAGGGCTTCAACTTCAAAATTCGAATATAATTCTAAAATAAAAAATGAACAAAATAATTGAATAAAAAATGTGAACAAATCTTAGACAACCCTTGTAATTCGAAATGTATTTAATGACTGCAAATAAAATAGTTAGCTCCCAAAGGTTTCACCGGGACGTGCTAGGCAGGTAACAGCTAAGCTAGCTAGTTGTTTCATGGTAACTTCCGGGTTTTTCGCAATCGCTTTTTGTCACTTTGAAACAGTATTTTTTCATGAAAACGTTAACAGCAAATTCTGAAATCATCCGTGCATGTGTGTTAAGGATGTATATGTATACTGTATTGTCCGATTGACGTTTAATGGTGTTGATTGATAGATATGTAGTTGTTTATTGAGCGTGGCTAGCTCGCTAGCTCCGTTGGCTTCTCTACACAAGTGTGTAGTGACAGGTGCTGATAGCTTGTTGTACTTGCAGAGTAATAGCAGTATTTTACACACCTGAATTACAAACAGAGGTTGCATTGGGGCTTCGGTCATTATTGGTTTGAGAGTTCTGTTATCAAGAAAAAATGATCGGAAGAATTGCTGCTGCTGCTTTGAGGAGCTCTATAACAAATTATAATTCAATATTAGAATATATTCTAAGGTTTTAAATTAATACATTCGGACGCGAAACTAGCGGTATTCTTTTACTTATATATTGTGTTAGCAGTGCGTTGCTTTAGTGCCATTTCATCAGTGATTGTTGTACAGCTTACAAGAAGTTGCGCTAATGCTAATGTTAGCATATGTATCAGATCGCAAATAAAACTAGGTGGCTCCGTGTTATGAGAGCGTAGGGGAAATGAGAAGCCATTGAGCGAGTTGGGGGCGGTGCTAAACATTCAAACATTGCAGCAACGGGTATAGCGCCTTTAACATGAGACTCCAGGATCCTCGGAGGCTTCCCCCTCCCTCCTCGTCCAGCAGCAGCAGCAGCGGCTCCTCCCCCCGTCGTAATCTGGTGAGTTGCTTTTCACTTCAACATGTTGCATTTACGAGTTTATTTCTCCCCTTTGTCTAATGTACTATCAGCCCCTCCAGGATTTGCGCGCAATTGTTGATTGATGAATGATTATTGCGGGGTAAAATGCAGTGGCGGCCGGCCAATAGAGGGCGCTAGGGCGCCGCCCCACCACTCACAACTTGCCATGTTACCTTGAATAAAACGTTAAAAAAATAATAACATTAAAATATTTCGAAATGTATGTGTGTTTTATTTCAGATGTGGAAGAAATACTTTATAGTTTATGCTGAGTTGGATTGATTAAGCTCATCAGCGTTGTCTGTGTCGGACTGAGGACGTATTTCCGCCTCAGGGCGCAAAAGATTGCGCCCTGAGCCGTCTATGGACTCTCGTTAAAAGTTGTACATGCGCAGTAGCTCCTCTTCAATGCAAGAGATAAGACGATTTGGGGGCGCAGGAGAAGTGCGCCCTGAGGGGGCGGGATCGCCCGCGACCTGTACTGTCACTGTCTGTGACGTCCGTTTACAGTGATTGACAGGTCAAGCTGTGGGAATTTGAGACGAACGTAAGACGCAAAATGGAGAACGAGAAAAAGAATAATTCAGTTAGATCACTCAAAACAATACCGTTTGAGAGAAGATCATACCAGGAGAAGGTTGAGGTTAAAGAGCTTGGACCTGATCAGCCAAATATTACCATTAGTCAGCAGTCCAGGACCTGGTTCAGCGCCAAATCTTGGCTAGCAGCATGTAGCGAGGCTAATGCTTTATTTTGCTTTCCATGCCTCTTGTTTCAAACATCAGGATCTGACCCAGCATGGATCAAGACAGGTATGACATGACTGATCTGAAGCACTTTTTAGAAAAGGCAAAGAAGCATGAGCAGACTGGTATCCACATGCAAAATGCCCTCAAATTAGCTATGTTTGGGAAGATAAATATTTCATCCCAGCTGGATGAAAGCTACAGGGTAGGGATCAGAAAGCACAATGAGGAGGTTGACAAGAATAGGCACATCCTATCAAAAATAATAGACTGTGTCAAATTCTGTGGTGCATTTATATCTAGTCATCATATTCATAGCCCCCCCAGTAGAAAATTCCACCAGCCGCCACTGGTAAAATGCTTGATTACGCGGGACATTTTTCCAAAAGTTTCCCTCTTGAGTTTGGAGGCGTGTGAATCTGGCATGCAGCATTAGCTGCCAGGGAGCTATGGATGATGTTACCGTGTGGTTTATAGAAGGGACAGGGGAAGGTGATCCATGGCAGACCGGTGAGCAACAAGTGTTAGATTTACCGCACCATGTTGTGCATTCTGCTGTGGTGCGTCTCACTGTGGAGGGTGCGTCAGGAGCGCGCCCGCTGCTGCTTTGGAACAGGGAGAGAGAGACTCTCTCTCTGTTGCTCTGATCCCAGAGTCTGCGTGATTTTGCGTTCAAACATTGAGAGATTCTGGAGCGAGTGACTATAGCAATCACTGCCTTATACTATAGTAAAAATAAACATAAAGTTACGTTTTTAGCGAATATTGAAGAGTTTTTTTTATCTCAATGTCATAGCTGCTGAAGCCAAAACACTTGTTATAATGTGAAAATGTATGGTGATTTTATATTTTCCTTTGTGTTGTAGATTGTTGACCCCAGGACCCCAAAATGCTGCAGCAGAGCTTGATTTGGATCAGCAGCTGACTTATGCAGCTCTTCATAACTGATGAACTGCTGGATCCTGGATCTTGTGTTGAACAGACAAAGCAAAGCTGTATGCAGCACAATATTTCAGTGCACACACACAGCGTCTCCCATTCAGCAGAGAAAATGCATGGAAGCCCGTGACAGACTGCAGCTAAAACCTTTTTTGATTTGACATTTCTCTCTGGGTTTGTAAAAAAAAAACTAATCTGGAAATGTATTGGGAGTGCGGAGGAAGTAGATTCCACCCCACACTTCAGCAGAGTGTGGGGTCACCCAATTACTATTCTTTATAAACTAAAGTAAAATTGTTTCACAAAGTGTTCAGAAAGTGTTATTTTTACTGTGTATTTGTGTACAAAGTGTTTTTATTGTATACAAGTTGAATATTTTATGTGTACATAAGACAATCCTTTGAGTGTATTGTGTGTACACGTTTAATTTGTTTAAAAATAATTATACATTAAAAATACAATTCAAAGTATTGTTTCTGTTTTGTGTCATAGTAAGAAACTGTCATACATTGTAAAATATCAGTAAAGACAAAAAAACCCACTTTTCTGCTTGAAAATGCGCGTTTCACAAAAAGGCTGTTTTCTCCAAATCTTGGTCAGGAAACAGCATTTTGTGTGAAAGTTACCTATGTTGCACTCTCAATTGCTAAAAAACTAAGGGATAGAGCTTTCATTTGGTATGTTTCATACTTGTGTCAACTAAGGGCTCACATTTCTATGCGGTTCGGAAAAACACTAAAAATGTCCAAAATCTCTGGCAGTATGAGGGATGCTGCTTTTTAAATGGCTGGCAGTGAATGAGTTAACAGTCCTGGAGTTGTTTTTAGATTCATCCATACTAATATCAGGAAGTTCTAGCACGAAAATTTAACTCCGCCCTTTCTGTCTATATGCTCCTGTCTCAATCCTGTAACAGTGTGACGCGATTGTGACATCACACTCAGATGTTTTCTGTATGTTGTATTTTTCTGTATTTGTAAGTCTTGCCCATTTATTTGTTTTGTCAATTTGTGAAATGTTATTGTTCTTTACAATTGCATGGCCATTTTCTAATTTGGAAAAAAAGCAAAACAAAATCTACTCCTCCCTCTGGTGGTAGTATAGTGGTAAGGCAGGCTGATTGTTTACCCTTGATACTGGTTTCGTCATACATGTTCTTTGTAAGAAAATGTGTCAAATTCTAAAAGATGAAATAACAAAATAAATCAGACTTATTACTGTTGTTTTGTAATTATCGTTTTTTTTAATGGCCAAAAAATAGTTAGTTGTAATATTTATGCTTTAAGGCTCTGTCAATAGTTAAATTCTGAGATTCAATTCCATATTGAAAAGTATTCTCATTTGGCATGAACATTTACTTGAGATAAGTGCACACAAACATTTTACACAAACGTGAGTCAAATCGTGGAAGTAACAGTTTTTTTTAATCGGAACGACTCTTAACAAGCAAGTATTTTGAAAGGAGAAACTAAATCATATGTGGAAGAGCAATGGAAGAACTGAAGACTAACCAAAACTGGAGTGAGACTACTGTTACACTGTCAAACACACAAGCGGTAACAGTACGTGATCTTTTTAAATCTCACTATGCAAAGAACAATTGTTAATACGGGTGTCGAATGTGCAAAGCATCACACAAAATAGCTCTATGTACTTGTAGGGAAGAGGAGGAATCCCGTGAACATGGTGTGTCCGTTTGAGTTGTCGAAAACCTGTCCGTTATCCCAGAGCTGAAGCTGTAGTGTGTCTCCAGGAGCCAGAGTCAAAAGCACAGAGTTACTGCTGCTGTCTGAACCGTCTGCCGTCACCGCCTCATATGTGGAGATCTGAGGGAACACACACAAGGGCGACACGGTGAACAACAACCAACCAAAATGCAGCTTATGCAAGGCAGGCAATGGAATATGTTTCAGCTGTTTTCTCAATTGCTTTCAGAAGGAGATATTTACCCTGAATGACCAGCAGGTGATCATTTTGTGAACACTTGATCATCAGTTTAGGTTTAAGATCAGAACCATTTTTGTAAACTGCCCTTGTCATTCATATCTATCTCAATTGGATTTAGATCAGGGAATATGCCGGATGATCGTGTTGTCCAGTCATCACCGCTCAAACGAGGGCCTCAGTGGTGCGATTCCCTCTTCAAAGCGTCCCATGATCCAGCCGCTGTTTGACCACTTTCACAAACTGAATCTCCATTGTTTCATTAAAAGAAAAAGCAGCCCACAACACACCTCCTCCATTGTGCTGTATGGAAAACTTCACAATTGAGATCATTAAAGTAGTATTGGAGCATCAAGATTAGAACAATTATTTTAGAGGTATTGTGGTGGCTTTTGTTCTGATGAGTAATCAGGTATTGAGCCAGCTTTACTTACTTACTTTTTGTGTCTGTGGCTTGGCGCTGAAGTTCCACAGCGTTATTACTGCCGCCTCAGCAGCGATGGGGCATTAGCAGCTTATCAATCTGAACCACATTCAACATTGTTTTGGTTTATTCTCATCATAAGGTCATAAAAATGAGAAGGCCCTGAAACTATATTATGGTGCTGTTTTGGAATTATAATGATTAAATGTTTTAAGAACTCACTGTTATGTCTTGTTTTCACACGCTGAAACTAAATGTAGAAGGATTCTCCAGGTGTAAAATGTAGATTCTTAAGATGAGATCATTAAGTGTAATGAGCAATTCCCGTCACCCAAGACCAGTATCCAGTAAAACAGTTAGCAGTATGTGTTGACGTGTTTAAAACGTGCACGAGGAAAAGAACCCTCAGATAAAGACATTATCAGAGAAACTTTCATCCCATTTTTAAAACATCAGATTTACTTAATTACACTACTGAAGTAAAAATACTAATGTAGGACCTAAAAGAAGAAGAATGTTGAGGTTCTCATTAATACTGTACCTGTAGGTCTGTGTTCTTCATGAGAATGGCCCCTGCAGTGTGACTGTTGTAGCCAAACGTGTTGAAGGTGAAGAAGTAGGATCCAGCCACAGGCGAAGTGAAGTTTCCTGTGACAAGAGGAAGCATGTAGGTCACGACATACAGGCATTTTCACACGGGCCTGTGGGCTTGTGTACACATCTACACATTTTAGTGAGCGAGGGTGGGGAAGGGTCCTGGACATTTTTCATTCAAGTCCAAGAGTGAAATCCCTTTTGTTCATGTCCAGTGCTTGTTTTGTCCGTGTATTATATCCATCTTCTCTCCTCCATGTGAGTTCTTTCAATATATAACTTATTTTCTTCAGCAGACATGCCCTTTGCATGACTTTTCTTCAATGTCTGTGGGAGATATGTTTATCTCTTTTCACAGCAGACCTAGCCCTCCTCTTGAGTAGGCCCCAGTGAAGCCCGCTATAGCAGCTCAATACTACTCACTTTGAGAGAGTGAAAATGCTCAAACTGGGCAGAGTGGAGAACATGGATGTAGTTTTTTATCAGCGAGAAGAGAAAGTGTTTATGATCTCCTTCCTGTTCACCATGTATTGTTCTGCTCTTCTGTCCTCGGGGTTAGGGTTGATAATGAAAGGTCTGCTTGTGGATCTAAAAGCAGCTCACCAGTGTTTGGGTCGTAGCCATTTCCGATGTTGGAGAAAACTCTTTTGAACACCAGGGTTTTGTCAGTGCATGGGCCTTTGTAGACTTCTTCTGAATCAGCCAAAGACACAGAGAAGGCCACCTGCGGAGAGGCTGCAGACAAACTCGTCATGTTTAACAGATCTGAATCAGGAAAAGGAGCTCCTGATTCAGTACTTAAAATAGTTTCCAGATTGTTGAGGATAGAAAATAAACGATGAGCATCAACCTTACAGATACATACATTTAAAATTAAAGAAAATAAAATGTTACCTTTCCCAGTGCTCTTCTTCAGTTCTGTGAATTGAAACAGAAACAATTATTTGAACAACTATATTTTGTTCTCGGATTAGGTAGTATTTAAACAATATTTGTTTGAGATTAAGTTCCCTTCATGTGAATAACTAGTCACATTTCAACAACATAATCTCTTTAATACATGTTGTCAGCCGCTGGTTCAAAACTACAGGTTATCTGGACATCAGCACACACAGACATGTTACAGACTGCACCAGTCTGGGTCAGCTAGATGTAGCAACAGAGTGACAAAGAATGGACAAAGAGCTCTGGTCTTATACCATGCTAATTTGAAACACATGCAACAATATGTCCCACCTTCCTCTCCCTCAGAGAAGACGTGGCTTCCCTCTAAATAAACATGAGATCTACTGAAAACAGATGTTTTCGGCTTCCTGCTTATTGGTGTTTGGGAGAATGCTCCGATCACACAAGTAGGTAAACCCAAAGCTGTCTAAACTTTGAATATATTCTAATTCACTTTAATGAAAATCCAACAACTCTACTATCATTCCCTCCTGTTTTTCATTAAAATAATTAATCACATTCAATGTTTGGTAAACCAACTTAAAGATGCAACACAATGAAATTAATACAAAGACAGTATTACATTTGAAATCCAAGTTGTGTCGACTCAACTTAAAGACCCCTCTTGACATGTGTCTTATAAAAATCACATTGGTTACAGAAAATCACACAGAAAACAACTCAAAAAAAATTTTTAGAGATCATTTCATATTTATATGTAATTGCTCCTCCATAAACCATATCTCCCCCCTGTTTGAGACATTAAAACTGGCTCAATAACTAAATATAATTCCTAATTATTCATGTGCATGAAATGAAAAAGACACAAATACCCAATTTATTTACTCATGTAAATTAATGTAGCATCAAAATGTATAAACTAAACGTTCATTTGAAATGTATTAAACTGGAATGTTTTCACCTGAAATGTATTAACTTGAAATGTGTCAACTTTGGTTATCAATTTCAACACCACACCAAAAAGCCTATTGTCCAGTAACGCCTGTTGTAGACACGCCCACACCCTGATGTCTTCTGCATTCAGCAACGTCCAGCACCATCATGTCCAGAAGCCTCTGTCCTGTTCACACACTTTAGAACCGACAGTAAAACTGGAAACCTCCAGTCCTCAGATCTTTGCACAAAGGTGATGTCTTCGGTCGACCCAGTCTTTCAGATTTTTTGGAAATCTGCAAAATGTCCCAAAAACACACAGAGTCAAGTGGTTGATTTGAGTCTGACCTCTGGATGACCCTTTGCATCATTGCTTCTGTCGTTGCAGCATTTAGCCGTTGGTTGGGCCTGCTGGTTTGGCTTGGTTTGGCTTGGTTTGCTGGTTGATGATTGGTGGGGGTGGGAGTGGGCGTCTCCTTCACAAGAATGAACTCTGAGCTTTTTAGCATCAAAAGTGATGTTTTAGGTGTTTCCCCTTAAACAAAACACACAAAATACACATTTGCTAATACATATCAAACTTAGTTCAGTAAACCCCAAAAGAAAACCAACTTAGCAGTTAATGAAAACTGTTGCTGAAGACAGTCCTATGACTTTCACAATTACCTATTGAAATAATTCAGAATCAAACAGATTTGCATTTCTTTAATGTAAACATTAAACATGCTACAGTAACTTCCCTTACAGTTAAATTCAAACCCTTCAAATGAAACTAAACATGATTATTATTCAAATCTGAGAAATTAAACTGCTTATTTTCAGAGTCTTTCCCACTTGTCTGATTGTTGTGAGTCAGCATCAGTCAGAGAGGACTTCTTAGGCGTCTGATTCGTCGTTCCCAACCACAGCACATGAACTTGTAATTGATCTGTGAAGTTTAAAACACTCTCGTGCCCAATGGTCAAAAGAACCACAATTAAAGCAGATACGCTTCTTGCTGCCAACGCTTCGCTCTCTCCTCCCCATCTGGATGCACTCTGCTCCCAGACCTGTCTTCCCGGTTGGAGTGGAGTGAGGCACTGGCTGTGGATGGAGCTGTGGCTGGGAAGGACCAGACCATCTGCCCCCAAGTGTCTCTCTTTGACTGGCTGTGATAGACTCAGAAACAGAAGAAAACATTAGTGTTGACTCACTCATGACTTCTTTGCATTGTTTAATCTTAATACATGCATCTAGAAACTTCTTTTGCTGTTTCAACATTTTTCCCTGCACATCTAAAATGTTTTTTAAATCACTCAGCTTTTCCAAACTGAGTGAAGCCATGTGTTCTTCACAAAAATCAAGTGTTAATTCTAACCTGCTGTTAACGTTACAATTATCCATTGCTACTTCGTTAGTCTTTCTCTGAACATACTCAACACTTTCTGTACAATCCCTCTTCCAGTGTCCTCTCTTGTGATATTTTAAGCATAAATCATTGCTTCTATCTTTACTACCACCCTTTCTTTTTCCTTCCTGAAACTGACTCCTCTCTCGCTCTCTCTTCCCACCTTTCCTATTCATGTTATAGTCTATTAGTTTAGTCAGTTAAGTCCCAAACATAGAAGACAAACACTTACATGCAAAACCTGAAGTAACAAACAAACAAATACTACTCACATAAGAGGAAATGTTTGTCTGTTAAATCTTAAACATAAACAGACAGTTACTCACATAAAGGACAGACAGTGTGCAAATAAAGCTTCTATTTTTTTAAGAATTTCAATATCCAATTTCAATTATTATTTAGATACTTCTCTTTCTCCAGCTGTTTTAACCCCCTCACTCATACAGAACTAATACATTCATTCGTAACTGGGCATAGAATGACTTCAGATCACCTAGCAGTTACACAGCAAAGGAATGTTTCTCACCCATCATCTGTACTTCTTAGCAAGTTTTCCCGACGTTTCGTCCTCAAACTAGCGGACTTCTTCAGGGAATGAATTCTCGGACCGCGCGTTGGAGATTTATAACCTATGGGTGTGGTTAGCCACACCCTAATCCTGATACTAACTCATAAACAATCTAAGGTCTGCTTGATGTAGAAGGGAGCAGGTCTAACGACCCTGCTGAGGCTAACGACCCTAACTCCTTAGCATGTCACAGACCTATTGTCTGCTGGGATGCTCAAGTGGAGTGCAGGTCTCACCCCTCCTAACTCATTAGCATGTCACTGACCTTGTCCCAAGTTAGGGCGTTGTTTTTAGGATGTCGTTATAGATGCGAGGCAAAACAAATCTTAACCCTCCTCCTCTGTTAAGAGAAGGTTTTTGTTTCCTCACAAAAATGGCTTCTTTCACCCCTCTCTCAAACCAATTCTTCTCCCGAGCCAGAATTTTAACCTTTGTGTCATCCACCGTGTGGTTGGAGGCCTTGAGGTGGAGATGAACAGCCGACTGTGGCCCACTAGAGTTTTCTCTACGATGTTGGTAAAGTCGTTTCTGTAGAGTTTGTTTGGTTTCTCCAATATAGTGGTCAGTGCACTCCTCTTCACTACATTTAATTGAATACACCACATTGCTCTGTTTGTGTCTGGGTGTTTTGTCTTTGGGATGCACTAATTTCTGTCTTAACGTGTTGAAAGGTTTGAAATACACAGGGATTTTGTGTTGCCTAAAGATTCTTTGTAGTTTATCTGAAACTCCCGCCACATACGGTAAGGACACGCCTCTCCTCCTACTTTCTTCTGTCTGTTGGACTGTGTCTCTGGCCTTTCTCGTCCTTTGGGCTTTAGTAAAAGACCACTTGGGGTAGCCACATCTGGAAAGTGCTCTCTGAACATGTTTGGTTTCTCTGGGCTCCTCTTACCAAGGGACAGCGCCAAGCCATTGGTTTCGATATGTAGACGATACATGGGTTAAGTTCAAGAAACAGGAAGTGGAACCATTTTCAGAACACATTAATTCGGTGGACCCTTTTATAAATTTCACTCGCGAGGATGCTAAGGAGAGTGAACTCGCCTTTCTAGATTGTAAGGTCATCATACTGGAGAACGGACAATTAGAGACTGAGGTCTTCAGAAAGTCCACTCACACTCCCCAGTACCTGGCCTTTGATTCAAATCATCCGCTACAACACAAACTCGGGGTCATTAGAACGCTTCAACACCGAGCCCACCAGGTCCCCACGAGCTCGGAGGGAAAGAACAGAGAAACCAAACATGTTCAGAGAGCACTTTCCAGATGTGGCTACCCCAAGTGGTCTTTTACTAAAGCCCAAAGGACGAGAAAGGCCAGAGACACAGTCCAACAGACAGAAGAAAGTAGGAGGAGAGGGGTGTCCTTACCGTATGTGGCGGGAGTTTCAGAGAAACTACAAAGAATCTTTAGGCAACACAAAATCCCTGTGTATTTCAAACCTTTCAACACGTTAAGACAGAAATTAGTGCATCCCAAAGACAAAACACCCAGACACAAACAGAGCAATGTGGTGTATTCAATTAAATGTAGTGAAGAGGAGTGCACTGACCACTATATTGGAGAAACCAAACAAACTCTACAGAAACGACTTTACCAACATCATGTCGGCTGTTCATCTCCACCTCAAGGCCTCCAACCACACGGTGGATGACACCGAGGTTAAAATTCTGGCTCGGGAGAAGAATTGGTTTGAGAGAGGGGTGAAAGAAGCCATTTTTGTGAGGAAACAAAAACCTTCTCTTAACAGAGGAGGAGGGTTAAGATTTGTTTTGCCTCGCATCTATGACGACATCCAGACAATAGGTCTGTGACTTGCTAAGGAGTTAGGGTCGTTAGCCTCAGCAGGGTCGTTAGATCTGCTCCCTTCTACATCAGACCTTAGATTGTTTATGAGTTAGTATCAGGATTAGGGTGTGGCTAACCACACCCACAGGCTTTGGTCATTAGATTGCCCTATCACTGAAATATGAACTGGTTTTGTCCGATGATTTTAGAATCAGAACGTCGTTCAAATCACACTTTAAAAATAAAAAAATGTAAACTAAATTTTCATTCACACAGACGTCTTGAATTCTACATGAACCCCGTTCAAGTCGAGTACTCTAACTGCAGTCTTTGCAGTGTATTATAGTTCCTTACTATAATGCAAGCCATAACTCTTTTATGCTTTTAGGCCTGTACTTTCTCAGTCTTTGAGAATTCTGTTTCTTAAATTCTTTATTTTATTCACTTTTTTTTTGGTTATTTTGTTTTACCTTGTCTGTTGTGGATGTCCAGAAACTCTAGTTCTGCCGTCAACTTCAATCCAGAGACTGGCCATGCCTCAAAGATGGAGTCCTCAAAGCAGTTCTGAATGAAGAAGGCCTCACCGCTGCTCCAACTCCATGTTTGAGGCATCCTCAGCTCCGCAGAAAAGCATGTTGGCATCCGGCTCGAAGGACCAAAATATGTGAATAACTAGTCACATTTCAACAACATAATCTCTTTAATACATGTTGTCAGCCGCTGGTTCAAAACTACAGGTTATCTGGACATCAGCACACACAGACATGTTACAGACTGCACCAGTCTGGGTCAGCTAGATGTAGCAGCAGAGTGACAAAGAATGGACAAAGAGCTCTGGTCTTATACCATGATAATTTGAAACACATGCAACAATATGTCCCACCTTCCTCTCCCTCAGAGAAGACGTGGCTTCCCTCTAAATAAACATGAGATCTACTGAAAACAGATGTTTTCGGCTTCCTGCTTATTGGTGTTTCACTCATGGGGGATGGGAGAATGCTCCCATCACACACGTAGGTTAACCCAAAGCTGTCTAAACTTTGAATATATTCTAATTCACTTTAATGAAAATCCAACAACTCTACTATCACTTCACCACTCAGAAGATTGCTCAGATTGTCTCAGATCAATCACTGTACCTTAAGATAGTTTTAACCTCGTCTTGTAAATGTAAGTAGTCAGATATGTCTTCAATTCAAATAAATATAAGCAGTTGTGCCAATCTGTCAATAATTCCTACATCTAAAACAATAACTTAAATTCCAGACATTTTAAGCCTAAACAGTCAATGTTTAGGAGTGTATGGAGTTATAATTTAAATCGATTGACCTTCATTCTCTTCTTTGAGTTTTTCGATGTCCTCTCTCTGTCTCGTCAGCTCGGCCAAAGTCGCGTTGAGCTTGACCTCCAGATTTCCCACATCTGTGCAGCATCTGTCCACATTGTTCATGCGCTCCTCCAGTTTGAGAACCAGGTCCAGTTTTTTCTGGCAAAAAGCAGCAAGAGGAGAGCTGTGTGTGGAGCCATGTCTCGCTGCTGCTGCTGAGACTAAATGAAGACCAGGCTGCACAAGTATGTTCACCCGTAAGTGCCACAGGTCCAGTCTTGTTCAGAGAAGGCTGGGAGAAGTACTCCTTTTTCCGTCTTTGCTTCCATTTAAAGCTCATTGCCAGGAATTGTATGCAAAAAGCATTGTAAGCTGAGAAAAGAGGGCAACCTTGACTTGTTCCTACAAAAGAGATACTTCCATTCTGGTTCATCTAGATTTTCCTGGGGTTCCTTTGAATCCAACATTGTATCCTAGTATCAGTACAATTTTATTGAATGCAATCTACATTGCTATTAGGGCTGAATCTCTTTTAAAGCCTGCCGATACTATTACCCATACTGTCTCTAGACACAATATATCGGTAGATACAGCCGACTTCCAATTCGACATAATCCAATACAATATATATTTCCAAACGATACGGGACAATTCCATTCAATTACTACTTATAAAAACTATCTATATATATGTATATTCATTTTGTTTTAAATCTGAAAAACGAAAAAAAAAAGTCTAAATAAAAAAATCTGTGATTATTTTTTTTTTTTAAAGAATACGTACCCAAAAAACAAACAGTAAATACATTTTTTTTTTAAATGAAAGACACATAATAGAGAGAGCCCCACGATGACATTTGCCCCCAGATTGGAAACTCAGTCATTGTGTGAATTCAACCAACGCTGAAAGAGAAGATGATTTTATTGCCTTAAATGATGGGGAAGCCTCATCAAACACGCTCTTATGTCCGCCACAGCCGCCGGGAGCCTCCCCACACTCTCCCATCTGTTCACACTAGTGTCAAATCGATGCACGAGTCCCGTCTCACTGTAATCTTCTTGACAATACCCTCCCAGCACATACAGTCTATCCTCCATTACCACAGAAGCCCCCCCGACATGTGGAACAGGCAAATTCGCGAGCGTGCTCCAGGAATCTGTGCTCGGGTTGTAAATCTCGCAAACTAGTTGATCGGTGTAGAACTTGCGTAGGTTACAAACTCCACCGGTGACGTACAGAAGGCCGCGGAGGGTCTCCATAGAGTGTTGGGCGCGGTCACAGGTCATTTCGGAGAGATACGTGGAGCCCAGTTCTGGATGGTAAAGGAACAGAGACACAAGGCATTCGTATTTGCAGTTGAAGCCTCCAGAAATGAAGATCGAGCCGTTGCAGACGGTGGCAGCTTGTCCGCTCAGAGCCTGGTCCAGTGGATGGACAAAGCTAGAAGGGAAAAACAAATGTGATAGGCTGTTATTTACCATTTCCAGTTCAACTTGTACTGAACATACTGTATTATAACTTTTAAGCGCAAATAATGCTAGCCATGGGTGCTGATAGTACATTGTTTAGTTTCATACTGATTATCTGGGAATATGGACTAAACACTACTGTAATTGTGTACACTTAAATAACATTGTCTTTAATTGCAAAGATACACAAAAATCTATATATGATCATACTAATTGTTCAAACTTACATAAAAAGCTCCTAATAAACAGAGATAAAGGAAAGAACTACCTCCAGGCGTCAGAGTCCGGGTTGTACATCTCCACCGAGTCCACATTTATGTTGATCCTTTTATCTCCCCCGATTGCAAACAGTCGTCCTTCATTTGCAATTAGAGAAAAATTACTTCTAAACTCGTTCATGTCAGAAAGTCTCCTCCAGCTGTTTAGCCCAGGGTCGTATCTGGAACAAATTACATTTCAATATGACAAGTTGCTCATACTAAAGTGTATTGCTGAATAACATACTTCAAAAGGTAAATAACCTAGAAGAGTGGTCTAACCGAGTGCAGAAAACCATTTGAGCCAAATTAAGATCCTTTATTTGTCCTACATTGGGCAAATTTCAGTGTTGCATCCCAAGATAAAGAGCAGTTGCAATGAGGAGCACACAACACAAAGATAAGTGAGTGTTGTTGTGATTTTGGTTCATGCAGAAAAATCAAGGCATAAAGTTCCGGACAGAAAAGATCAGACAGAGTCAACAGAGTGTTCTTATGAGGGAGACGGGAAGGTTATATACAAATGGTAATCTCAATAGCTTAACTTTACTGCATACAGCTTCTATGGGAGCGACCCCCCCAAAACCCAAAAAACATTATGAGATTTGCGCAAGTAGCTGATGGATTTACCTGTACGCTGATTTCATGATGTCATCTTTAGTGTAGAAGTAGCAACCACCAATCACGTAGAGTCCTCCTTCCAAAACCGCAACGCCATGTCTGAACTTTGGCTGGTCCGGGATCTCACCCAATTTTCTCCATTCAATGTTTTTAACCAACCCTGTGCCACTACGGAGACAATTGGCAAACCACACTTCTCTGCTAGGAATCCGCTGCCCCATATCCGGATTTAGCTGGTCCCCTCCCACTATTACCAACGCATTTTTTGGCTTTCGAACCCTGCATTTTGTTTCGGTGTCCAGATTTCCAAATTCTTTAAAAGCCGAGCTATACAATTCAACTTCTTCACCATATTCGCCGCACTCCATTCGCAAGTTGATTGCGCGGACTTCACGAAACTCCCTGAAAGTCATCAAAGGAAAACGAACAGAAGACATAAGTAAGCTAGCTTGATTCAGTCTAACCTCTGAGTCAGCTTCGATCCACGAAATCGCCGCCCTGAATACGGCTAGCTCTGACGGCGCGCACAAACCATCGTTTTTTAGAAAGTCTGCAAGTTTTTCTGCAGGAAGATCGAGAAATTTTGCTGTTTCAGACACCTGCCAAAAATTCCGTAAGACAAAATCGTTAGCCTCGTCGAGTAGCTCTGTCATCTCGTAAGCTTCGGCAAACGATATAACATCCAAACAGGAGTAAGAATCCATTTGTTCGAGCATGAATTTGAAGCATAATGGCAAAACGTGGGAAAATTGAAGTTGGAGGGAAGTACACGTGATTTCAAAGACACAATCCCAGTTTAGGTGAAGATGTCCGGTGTAGGAACATTCAATGAGGGCTTGAAGTTCCGGAGCAAAAAGGAAAGGCAGAGTGATGTTACTTTGACTGGATTCCTTCATTCCACTGGTAAACATCCCACGGAAAAAATCACTGCAGGCGGCCAAGATCACTTTGTGCACTAGAACAACAGAAATGAAAGTCAACGTCACAATAGTGCAGTGTGCGACCTTTCCTAAACACTATTGATTTTGTCATGCATGGGAACAACTTGCTAGGTCTAGTTCACACACGTTTCCTCGGCTCCTAGTCAAAGGAAATTTTGTTTTGATTGCTATGTACTTCAACCAGTGGGGACGGGTCCCGGCTCAAAAGTCGCCAAATTGTTGTGCGCTGACATACTTGCAATACCACCCCGGGCCGATGGGGGGTGGACCCGGAATAAGAATTAGCCAATGCTAACATAGCATCTTATTACCTCTCAAAAACGTCTTTACAGGATGAGTTTGTGTAAGCCCTCAGTCGTACAGGGATTAGTCACAGCCTCAGCAGGGTCGTTCGACCTGCTCCCTTCTACATCAAACAGACCTTAGATTGTTTATGAGTTAGTATCAAGATTAGGGTGTGGCTATACATGTGGTTATAAATCTCCAACGCGTGGTCTGAGAATTCATTCCCTGAAGAAGTCCTTTGGATTGAGGACGAAACATCGGGAAAACTTGCTAAGAAGTACAGATGATGGGTGAGAAACCTTCCTTTGCTTTGACTAATCCCTGTACGACTGAGGGCTTACACAAACTCACTCCATGAAAGCACAATTTTTGGCCCATTAGAACACCCTAACCTAAATTAAAAATTCAACAAAAAAACAACACACCTACAAAAAACCCAAATACAAATTTTACAACCACAAAAACTCCCCCCTATCCCCCCCCACTCACAACCTCCACTTAACTTTCCCCCCCCCACCCCCCCCATACTCTCCAAAACCCCCCCCCAATCACCAACCCCCCCCCCCATAAAAACTCCCACAATTACATCTCATATTCTCTTCATATCTTTCCCCCCCCCATAACCCCAAAAAACATCCCCACCCCCCCACCTCTTCTTACAATATTCCCCCACCATATCATATCATCACCAATTAATAATTCCCCCCTTCCTCCACCCTCCCCCACCCCATCTTACCAACTCATCATACTCACACCCCCCCCCTAACAACTAAAATATTCTCTTCATCCCTCCAACACCAATCCTTACTATCCCTCTTCCCTCTCATCAACTCAATAATAACACCAATAATACACCTAACACCCAACTCCCACAATTTTCCCCCCTTTATTTCTATAACACATCCCCCATCACCTTCTTTAACCCTCCCCACCCCCCCCACAAATTCAACCATCATCACCAAATAACACATACCTATCCTACCCCCCCCATCTACCCCACCCAACCTACTACCCTCAATCCTCCAAAAACCACAAATTCCCCCCCAAAATTCATACCCCATCTAAAACACCCATCTCCACATCCACTACCACACCCCCAAAATCAACCTTTCTACCCCCCCACTTCCCCACAAATTCCTATTATCAACCCCTACCCCCCCCCCTACCCCCCAACTCAAACCCTCCCATCCACACCCCCCCCCCCCCCAAAAAATACCCCAATCCATACACCAAACCACCCCCACCCCCACCCCATAATAAACCAAACTCCTCATCCCCCCAGATAGATCCCCTAAAATTTCCTATCCCCCCCCTCCCACCCCCCCCTTTCCCACCAACACCCACCCTAATCCTCCCAACCCAACACATCCAACATACTAACATTAAACAAATCTATTTTTAATTATCCCCCCCCCCATACAACAAACCTTTCCTAATCCCACAGACATACCCCCCCCCTAAAAATTCTTCCCATCTCTCACCCCCCCCAAAACATCTACCAAACTTCAACCCATAAAAAATCAATCCTATATCACCCTTATCACACCCCACCCCCCCCCAAATCTTCCTAACATCTATCATATTCCCTTATACCCCCCCCTATATCCCCCATACTCCATCCTCACCATCTTTTCCCTCTCTCCCTTCATCTCCCCCCCCTTCCCCACCCATCAACCAACCAACCCCAATCAAACCATCCACATCCATCATCAACATAATACAATCCAACCACCAACCATCCCCCCCCCCCCCCTAAAAAACATCAAAACCACCCTTCCCCCAACCATTAACACACTTCTAAACATCAAAATAATACTCATCTATCCTAATACTCCCCCTATTCCCCCATCCTCCCCATCCCCCATTCCCCACATCTCCCCCATCCTTCCCCCCCCCCCCCCTTTCCCTACAAACAACTTCCCCACACAAAACTTCCATACCAAACCCATATTTATTCTTATCAACACAATTATATTTAAACCCCCCTTACTCCCCTTAAACCCCCCCCCCCCCCCACCATCTATCCTCTATCCCCCCCAATCCATTACCCCAAAAAAACACCAACCCCCCCCCCCAACCCCCCACACAACTAATCAACACAAAATACCCATCCCCACCCACCCAAAACATTCCTCTTTCTCAACCCCCCCAAATACCCCCCCCTCAACTTCTTCCTCCCCCTAAACCCCCCCCCCCCCCCCACTCCCATACCCCACCCCCACTCTCAATTTACCCCCCCATTTTTTTCTCCCCCCTACCCCCACATACCAATCATATTAATACCCCATCACCTCCCATCCATCTTCATATCCACCCATCCCCCTCCCTCATCCTACCCAACATCATTACTCCCCTATTCTCTTTCTCCTCATCACCCCCTTACCACCCACAACCCATTCCTAATCCATCCCCCACATATAAAACTCAACCCCACAAAATTCTACCCCCAATCCAATACTTCCCCCCACACACCCCGCCCCCCATTAACCCCCCCCCCCCCCCCAAACCTCCCCCCCCCCAAACAACCCACAAAACATACCACAATCAAAATAATAATCAAATCCACCTACCACCCCACAACCTTCCTATACCTTTACCCCCCCCCATAAAAAAACCCAACCCAAACCATCCCCCCCTAATTACCCAACCCTTTAACCTTAATAAAAACACATACTCACACCCCCCCCCAACCCCCCACAACCCAAAACCATACCCTTATCCACATCCACCAACAACCCACTCATCCATTCCTCCCAATAATACTCCAACCACATTAACAACCCCCCACCCACCCCCCCCTCCTCCCAACCCCCCCCCTTCCACAATACAACACCCAACCCACCCCCCCTACAATACAACCTATACCCACCACCTCTCCATCCCCCCCCCCACCACCACCCACCCCCCCTCCCCAACACCACCCCAACACAAATCCTTTCCCCTCCATCTACCCTCCCTCACCCCCAACACTCTTCTATTGTTATATACCCCCCACACCCCTCCCCCACACCTATCACCCTTTTACTCTACCCTTATATAATTTTAATCCCAAATATCCCCAAAACCTAAATACTCTCCCCTCCCTTCCCCTTAACTTATTCTACCCATATCACATCCTCTTCTCCTCTCTCTCCTCCATATCTAAACCCTACTCTCTTTATCAAACACCCTCTCTTCCCCCTTCCCCCACCATATATACTCTTCCATTTTTTCATCCCCCCCTTTGCTTTACCCACATTAATCACATCCATCCAAAATATAAACCCCCCATAAAATTCCCTCCCCTTTCCCATAAACACCCCTTAACCCATTCAATCTCAAAAAAAAACAAACCCAAAATCTTACCCCACCAAATACAAACATCTCTCTCTATTCTCTTAATTCCTCCCCCTCTACTAAAACCACCCACCCACCATACAACACCATACCAACACCCCCCCTCTCGAACAGCTGCTGCAGTCTGTCGGGATCCACCTGCACCGGCTCCAGCTCGGCCCAGATGCTGCGGGTCCCAAAGCGAGTGGCTCTGGGCAGGGCGGGCAGACTGAGCAGCTCCCTCCAGTGTAACCGCAGTGTGTGGGACTTCAGGGAGGACCGTGCCGAGGGGGCAGAGGGGGGAGGCGGCAGAGGAGGCAGTGGGGGAGGCGGTGGGGGAGCGGGAAGCCCAGGTATATTACTGAAAGAGTCGCACTGTAAAAGTAGAATAGAGGGAATTTTTAAAGTGCATATAAACTACTGATCAAGTCACTCTCTTTACCCTGGTTCTTGCAGGGTAAAACATTGGAATTATATTGTTGCAACTATTTGGATTTAATGCTAAGAAAAAGTCTGTTGTAACTTCCATTGCTACATTTGTGTATTATGTATTATCAATTATTTAAGATACTAGATAAAAAATAGGTCAAATATTAAGATGGTTAAATAAATGATTGATAATTGCACTTGGATCATGATAAGTCACTAGTGGAAAATACACCAAATATGGCACAAACTGGTGGCCTTGCGTCTATCAGTGTGCCCCAGGGCAGCTGAGGCTTCAGTAGTAGCTTATCACCACTGTGTATAAGTGAATGAATAATGCCTTGTGAAGCGGCTTTGAGTGTCATGAAAAGTGCAAAATAAAACCAATGCATTACTATGATTTTGTTTGCATTATTATATGTTTTTTTGTGAATCAGTTTATATCATTTCTCTCACACGTTTGTTCTGTTAAAACACTGTATGAACGTGTTCTGATTATTGTATTGTCATTAAAAGCAGAGTTCTCTCACTCCTCGTCTGTGGTCTTCCTCAGCGTCTTGATCCTCTTCCTCCCACAGATCACTGAAGTCCAGGGAGTTGAGACACAGACGTGACGACGGCTTCAGCACATCCCAGTTCAGGACCAGGTCTCTGGCCTGCTCCCAGTCTTTCATCCTACTGAGCTGCAAATCGATTCCACTGCAAACATATATAACTACAAATAAATATTTATGCTGACTCCATGGACAAGTCTTAAAGGGAAGGTCAGTCACTTTTAAAAGTGTGAAGATGGAGTTTTTTTTAACGCAAGTACCAATTAGACCCGCCCCCACAGCTTCCTGATTGGACAAAATTAATTTTAATTCTTGATAGACAACTGAGACCCCTCAGCAACTATTTTCCTCCAAAAAATCTTATTGGTGATACCGTTGTGAATATATTACTCACTATTATATGGATATTTCATAGATGATGCAATTTACAGTCAAAATATACTGCTTACTTTGAGACTAAAAATATTAGTCTTAAATCATTATTTTCTCTATTCAAACACTTTTCTATAGGTACAGTATATAACAAAAAGCTGCATGTAAAAACATCTCTCAAGACAGAATGGAAATATTTTTTTGACAAATCTGTCCACTAATCATGAGTTCTAGCCCTTTTAGCAGGTCAATTCATTTACATTCATTAATTTCCAATTTCTCTGCTAAATACAAACGTCGGATACATACCTTCTCTTTAAAGCTCTCTTCAAAGGTTAAAACTTCCAAAATGTGTCTTGTCTCTGGATCTTGCTTAAAGTATGTTGATTAATTTCTTCAGTTCCTTTGCTATCCTGAAAAATAAACCCAAAAACAACGTCTTGTGCATTTCATAATGTTGTCTTAAGGATTTCTAAATTCGCTCTTTGCTTGATTTGAATCTGAAGTGGGTTTTCATTCTCAAGAAGAAAAAAAAACATTCCAAATCTTCCTTCACCTCAAAAACCTTTTCCAATCTTCTTTTTCTTTGTCAACCACAAGAATGCACCTCTCACACGTTCAATGCAATCCCTATTCTTTCCCGAGCTACCGCTAAATCTGCATTTGTCCTGGTCTTTCAAATCCACTGTCACGGTCGTCACTTCTTCTTGTAAAAGTCTGAGTGGCTGCAGTGGATTTGTCTGTGTGTTCATCTCGGTTGCGCCCTTTCCTTCATTACTTTATCACAGAATCTCCTGTTTGTGGCGAGCTGCATCTCTGGCTGGAAATCTGAAATGGGCGCTGTTTGATCCATGGTTTGAACACAGAAAATGTACTTGTTTAAAGAAATGGTCTGAGATATACAGGTTATACCATAAAGAAGCAGAGATTGTGACCACTTATAATTAGAGTAAATGAATAATCCTGATTGACCCCAAAACTGCGTAGTTGGTTAATTTTGGTATTTGTAAAGAAAATCATTTCTGGTTCAAACTGATCCTCTGAGATTGCATGAGATTTACCATAATAATTGATATTTTCTTAATCTGTATTCATATATCAATTGTGGATTTGATGTGTGTGTTCTTCAATTCTATCTAGTTTATAACATCAATAACTTGCATCTACTCATTCACTTTCAAAGCTAAATACTTTTCCTCATAAGTAATCATAACATTAGTTATGGAATGAGAAAAGCAAGGATTTTTTAAATTGATTTTATTACATTGAAAGTTAGACACCCCAGCTTTAATCTGTCTGAGTTTCAAGTTTTAGACACGGGTCATTTGTGGTGTGGACGTGCCGCAGTGGTCTGTTCTGGCCCCTCCCTTCTTCCTCAGAGACCTCTATCATGATCCTTATCAGTCCCTAGTGAGAGCTGAGTTTGAAAGAGCTGGACTTATTCTGTGTCTCGTGTCAAAACACATAAAACATAATGTTTGTTTTTGTGTCATTTTGGTTTCAAGAAAAGTATTCCATTTTACCACAGCTTCTCTGTGCCATAGACTTCTCTTTTCCTGTAATCACTGCATCTGGTGACGTGATTGTCTCAGCCTTTCTTTCGTTCTCTTTTTCTTAATAATTACAAAAAAAAGGTTTTATTTTGACTTTGGAATAAAGAAAAATTGACAGTAAGTAAATCTGAATAATTGCCATGGAAAGATTTGGACCGACTGTGTGACTTTAAAATGGGAATGCTGTGAAAATCACAAATCCCAGTGACACCTGGTGGAAAAAAATTATAGGAAAAAACAGAAAAGTAAGGAAAGTGTTTATTATTGTAAATATTATGCGTATAGTGGTTCATTCATATGTTCGAATAGTATGGTATTGTTTTCTGTGACGTAGAGCTTTTTATGGTTTTAAAATGCATTCCAAATATTTGTTTATGTTCTTGAATATTATATTATAATTTAAGTTGTCTGTGATTTTACGGAACTTTCAAATAGGCCTGATTATAGTGTTCAGTATTCTGTATATCATTATGCTGTAAATACTTCAAAAGGCCCTGCCTTTCTAAGTGGAGTTTGCATGTTCTCCTCGTGTCTGCTTTGGTTTCCCCTACCACTAAAACAGTGTAGGGGTTCCCCCCTGTTGCTCTAGTGCATTTTAGGATGGGTCAAATGCAGAGGACAGATTTCTTTTTGGGGACAAACAAAAGAAATTATGTACTTCAGTAAAGTAAAAAGTAAGAAAAAAGTAAAATATATTTGCGTTGGATAATTAACAGATAATTTGTTCATTCAACACACGTTTTTACACGTTCCTCAACACGATGACGACACCTACTTGACAAGACAATATTGTTGAAACGTTTCTTAGCACTAGAGGCGTGGCTAACCATATGCTGTTTAATCTATTTTAAGGTGTCTTGAAAGGAGCCAAACACCATAATGAATTTTCATCATAATTTAGTCCTTACCACCTCTGCTGTAAACAGGTCTAATACTGCAGTGACAGTTTATAATAGAGCTATTCCCTTTTATCCCTGTAACAACGGTTCTAATGTCTCATCTCATACAGTTCCTTCAATATCTTTATTCTGAAACTCCCAGACGGAACGCGCGTCATTCCTCTTCATGTTACTGTACTTCGTGAACGCGCGTCTGGTCCACGGACATTCTCATCACTGCGCGCGCCCGCCTCCTCTCTGCCTCCGCTCGTGCGCGCGCAGTCTCCGGCCGCGCGCGTTCACGTCCGATGCTACGATGCCCCACATCCGCCACAACAATGTCCCTCAACGCGACAGCTCCGTCCTCCGCTTCGCCTCTTGCGCACGGGTTTGTCCTTCGCACGGGATGCCGCTGAGGTACGTGGACGTTCGCTTCGTTTACGCGACCCCCGGTGTGCAGGCGCGTAACACCGGGCTGAGAACGACGTGAATCAGCAGCAGCAGCGGCGTCATTCATGCTTTTTATCCCTCTCGTAATGTCGCAAGTTACGTCGGCTGTCCGGGGAGTTACGTAACGCGGTCAGATGTTTGATGATCTGCTCAATCCCGCTGTTTGAACTAGAAGCGTCTATTGGAAGAAAAAAAAATAAAAATACAGAGGCTGATATGTCTGCATAGAAACAAATTAGATTACAGACAAGTTCAACACGCAATGAATGGACTTGCGTGTGTTTTAGTGTATGTGAGACGCGATCACTATTTTGTGTTTCAAGTTTCATGTGATTACAAAAGAAAAAAAAAGCTTCATAAACAAAAAAAGTCAAAATAGTTTCTTCACTACGTAGTGGATGAATGCATTATGTAATAGTCTAGTCTAATGTCTGGATACGAGCTGTGACCGAATTATAATGTGAGATGTTGAACAAGGACTTGGATTTGTCTGGGTCATAATTTAAACCGTAATATGTGTGTAGATAATTTTATTGTATGCAATTTATTTAATCAAGAGTCCCTATTGTTGTCATTGTCATTTGAGAACCGCAAACAAGCAATGTAATTAATGTCATAAACAACAACTTTGTACTCTGGTCTGTGAAAGGCACTATATAAATACATCTTACTTATGTACATAATGTTAATGCTGGGGTTTCAAACTATCAAAGCATAAGCCTATAGGTCCTCGCTCCCAAAACCGTTTCTATCCGTAGCTTTCACGTTCATGCATTCCTGCTGGAGCCCATGAGTCAGGACTAAAGATGCCGCTGAAATCTGGAGCAGTCTTCTTGAAAATGTGAGGCAGGCTTTGACTCTGACAATGTTCAAATCCAGGTTAAAATCAGTTCTGTTTAGATTGTTTTGACTCTGTTTAATATACTGACGATCATTTATGATTTTAACGCCTTTTGTGCGATTGTTTCTCTCTTATTTTGTTAATCACTTTGAGTTGCCTTGTGTATGAACTATACAAAAAAACTCGGTCAGACAAAAAAAGTGGATTGATTGAGCTATGGAAAACGCTTTTTTCAAGTATATTGCTATATACTTGAACAAAGCGTATTAATATTCATGTATCTTGTGTTGGCCGCTCCTCATTCTCACTGTTCCGTAACTTGCGATGCAACACTGGAATTTCCCCACTGTGGAGCGAACGAAGGATCCCGTCATCTTAATCTTAGTGTAATCGTTTCTCTGCTGTCAGCCTAAACCGTCAAATTTGGACTCACAATCTTGCAATACTCTTTCTGTCAGGACAAACCTCATGTAGTAATGATTGTTTTAGGTCCCCCAGCTTTAATATTTGCTTGTTCTGCTCCTTTGCTGCAGGTGCCTGAGTGTGTGAGAGTGAGAGGATCATGGAGAGGAGGGAATCGGACTCACACGGTTTGTTTTCCTCTGGAGACACGTCCGACAATGACTACGAGGTGAGAAGCAGCTGCTGAATTGTGCTTTAAAGGTGACATTTTTGTACTGTGTAAGTGAATGTGATGTCAACCATTTTTTTAATATAACTAGCGAGGCTAGTGCTGTATTGCTTGTGGTATTTTCTATCCAAAACAGAATTATAGGCAACATTTCTCCATTGTGAGATCAATAAAGTTTATCTTATCTTATCATATCAACATTATCAAACTTACACACGAGAGACGTTTAAAGGAGACATATTATGCTAAATCCACTAAAATTGGTCTTGGATATGTTGTTTATGTGTTTATTAGGGTCTGTATTTGCACAGAAAATCTGATTTAAATGCATCTAGGGGCTACAAAGTTATCTTAAATTTTTGATCGGCATTTCTCAATTCCAATGGAGACGCGTCTGATTGGTTTAGGGCAGCCATTCCCAAACTCAGTAACACCGAGGCCCCCTTAAAAATCTGACGGGTCTGCGTGGCCCCCCAAAATAATTACCAAGAAGACAACATTAAGAATAGGCTCTTCTGGTTATTTTATTTTGGGGAAACAGCCTCTGCTACAAACATTGTAATACAAAAATGATTACAGTGGATTATTCAAGTCAAATAATGAACACAAATATTTTAATATTACAAACAAAACATTATAAATTTAACATTAAATAATTATATATATATATATATTTTTTTTTTTTTATGACCTCCCGCGGCCCCCCTGCAGTACCCTCGCGGCCCACCAGGGGGCCGCGGACCCCACTTTGGGAGACACTGGTTTAGGGCATACTATTGCGTTTTGTACGGGTATTGTGTCAGAGTACTTCACGGGAACAAGCCCAAACAAGGCAATACAAGGTCAATATGTAATACAATATGTAAGATGTTCATGTCAAGTTTAAATTGCCCTAATATGTCAAATACTCTTTTCAAATACTACTTTAACTGATAATATAAGTTCAGCTGAGATATCCGAATTTCAAAATTGGATTTACAGCCCTAAATCTTGTTATGGTTTTCATTTCTATATCCTGCCCTCCACCGTTTTACCAATCAGCAAGTCTGTGATCCGGGTTGCCAGAACTCACCGTGTCGAGCTAATGTCACTGGTAAAGTAACATGTGGCCGCTGTGGTAAAAAAGTTCTTGTTCTGATTCTCAAATCATCAATGACAAAACAAGGAGTAGAACAAGGGTTTATATCGGGGCCTTTGTGAAAAAGTTGTTGGTTATAGATTTGTCGTGGAGAAAACTTGTCTATTCAGAGATTGTGGTTCCAGCTGGATTCGTCTGCATATCTGGCAACCTAAGTCAAAGAGAGTGCATGAGGTTCAGTACCACTTTCGGTCAGATGTGTACATATTGCTCCTTTAATAAGCACAAAAGAATGAATTTAATACTGATGACTGTTTGCTAGTGATATTTTATGTAGGACTCTGAAGGACTATTTCACGCAACATATTGTTTTAGGAACAGAACATACATGCTTGTGAAAACTAGTGATTGTGTCATGGTGTGGATTTTGTTATTTTGGTACTTATTATTATTATTATTTTTCCTGTGGTTTAGTTTTACTTTTACTTCCTGTCCTGTTCCCGGTGTTGATTGTCTGCCCCCGATGTGTTTCCCCTGTGTCTCTCTATATCTATATGTACCTGTGCTCTTCTCCATGTATTGCTGGTCCATTGTCGTTGTCCGTTCATGTCTGTCTATGTTCCTGGTTCTGTTTGGATTTTGAGTTTGTTTTTTTCCTTTGACTTTTATAAAACCATCCACATTAAGAAATTATTTCTACATCCTTCGTCTCACCTCACGACAGATAGATCCAAACTGTTTTGAGAGCTAGCATCTATTTACATGGATCTTTATTACATATATAGTTCTATTTGTTGTGCGTGATAAGTTTAAAAGTTCAATTCCCCAACTCTAACAGAATTAACAGAATGCATACATAATATTTGTCTTTTTTTATCTATATAGTAACATGTAATTTTCTTGCTAATCCGCGACCATTATACGCTGTAATACTCTAAATGTGTCTAAATAGGTTTCTTTACAAATATACTTGCCTTGCGTTCTGTTATAGAGTTGAGTAAGGGTTAGGGTGATTACAGGTTGATTAGACACGATTAGTAGATCAAAGTTGCATCCTGTATATTGTTATTAGTCTGAGAGATTGTAAGCTCCAAGGCTGCTGCAGCGGAGTGACTCACAGTCTTTGGGCAGTGAACCCTGCATCGTCATCATCACTCTGTTTTATTTTATTTCTCCTCATCCCTGAGTGTTTGTAAAAGTTCTCCAGCTTTGACGTAACTGAACTAAATGCGTCACCTCTTATAGTTCAATACGAGACGCAATCTGTGCATCGGCATCACGCAAACACATGAGAAAGAAGGAAGTATAGAAAACCGTGGAAAGGAGCACAATGTGAGGCGGCTTGAGTCGGGACAAATGCAAAGAGGACAGAGAGGAGAAAGTGGAGCATGTGACAGAGAATAGGACAGAAGCTGATATGAAAAACATCAGGGAATACGCCTACAGGGCTTCTGAACTCAGGTGACCAGATGTCCCTATAAACGTGAACGCAATTTACTTCCATTTCTAAATGTATACTTTATTTATCTACGGAACTTTATAAATGATAAAGTCCAACCCGGTGAGCACTGGTGAGATCCTGAAAGATCCGTGAATATGGGACTCTTTTTATACGCCCTGCCCGAGGAGAGAAGGCTAGCACCATCAGTATCCTTTCTTAAATCACTTCTTAAAACCCACTTTTATCAAACAGCTTTTAACTGTTACTTTTAAACTTCCAATTTTGTATTTTACTGTCTGCTTTGTGTGGCTGGTGCTCTGTGTACTGGGTGCAGCTCTGACTGCCACCCCCCCGACCCAGAAATGGATTAAGGGGAAGAAAATGGATGGATGGATGTCTGCTTTGTCTTCTTGTGTTTGCTCTGTCTGCTTTGTCGTCCTGTATTCAATCTAATTATTCTGACTTTGTATTATGACTTTTTCATTGTGCTTTATGCTGACTGTGCAGCGCTTTGTAAACATTGTTTTTTTTAAAGTACTATACAAATAAAGATTAGTGTTATCATACTATATATTTGCCTGAAACAAAGCTCATCTTCATAGAGATAACTTATTACACCATTGATTGTTTGTATTTATATTCGTTTTTGGATTTTAGGTTTAAATAATCTTCTGTATGAAATACATTTGAAATTAGAGTGGTTGTAATGTAATCAGTGGAAAGATACTCGACAAAGATCAGTCAACCGAAGCATTGTCCAATAAAATCAACATAAACAAGAGTGAGACAGAGTGCAGGAGTCTTCTGCGCCTACACACCTGTGGCCTTCACTGGTGTGCGTCCTCCTGCTGTATTGTAATGTAATCAACAGACGGCAATAAAGACTACAAGTAGCTCCAAAACCAACACACATGCTAATACGCTGTTTATACTATACTATAGGACACACTTAGCTACTGTTGTGAATTAAGAGCAAAATAAAAAAATATTCTGACTCAAACAAAAGCAAAATGTGACAGTTTATCTCGAATCTTGACCTCCATTACACTTTGAAGAATTATATGGAGAATCGAGCCTCAGAAACACGTCGTTGTGGTTGTGGTTGTTTCAGATGGGGGCCGGCTTTGGAGGTGCAGAGGGCCCTGGATGTGAGTGTGACGTGGCCCCCTGCTCACTGCACTCAGAGACCCACAGTCCACACTCGGGGAACAGCACACAGGTTTGTCCCTCCCACAGTTCTGTTCTTTGGTCAATAATTACAAACATTTGTTAAATATTTGTGACATTTTTCCTTACAACTTTTAAACCTCCAAAGTGGGTGTACTTCTCAATGTCATCCCTTCATATAGGCACATATTTAGTCAGTCCAATGTGTTCTGCATTTCGTCCTTGCTACAAAATCCCTACTTATGACAACCAATGACTTTACCCTGATTTATCATAATAAAAGCATTAAAAAGGCATCTATATAACTTCAGAGAGCATTGGTCCATCTTTGTCTATTCATATTCTAGTTGTTGTATTGGTAGATTTCTCCAAACAGTGGCCACAGGAAGGATTATTATTTTTAATTTTTTTTCTAAATTTGGACGTTGATACAGTTTGCAGGTACACTCGCTTTAATCCAGGTTTTTATCCCGGTTGGACCAGGGCCTTTCTGAGCGGAGTTTGCATGTTCTCCCCGTGTCTGTGTAGGTTTCCTCCGGGTACTCCGGTTTCCCCTACCACAAAATATGTACAATAGTTCTGGCATACGCCTCCTGCACTGGCCCTGCTCCCATCTCTGTGTGGAGTGAGAGACAAATGCCCAAAAATAACAATTGTAAACCGCTTTTTGACTCTGGTCTGTGAAAGGCGGTATATAAGTAAAGATTACTTACTATTGTTTGTTCACAATCTCTGTGCTTATGGAGTGAATAAATAAAACCCTAAATTGTATCTGAGACACTTTGCCAACTGCTTTAAAAAAATGACTTACATGTATAGTTTGAGTCCTGGGTGTAGTCTTGCGTCCCGGTTTAGACTTGGCTTTACCCAGGTGATTTAAAGGATGAATTAAAATATTGCTAAACTGAACCAAAGCGCTTTCAAAGTGAGAAAACATTGTGTCTTGTGCATTTCAGGAGATGCTGCTTTGTGAACACTGTGGAAAAAACAGAAAAATGGTAACGAGATTCTCCGAGGGTTACGGAACAGAGGTACATGAGTCTAACCTGGAATCCTAATCAATGTTAACAAGAAAAAGACAACACAATGTACAGAATCATATACAGTATCATCAAAGGATTGGCAAAGTGAGGGAAGCAAACTGATTTTATAGCACACATATTTGTAAAAACAGGTTGGTGCAATCAGCGAAGGTGAGGCACGAGTAGTTATATCATAAAGATTCAAATACAGTGACGCACAATATTAGTCACATTCATCGTGATTCAACTATGTATGTGAATAATACAACTTGAATAGTTATAATAGTCGAGTTAGTCATCATAACCAGCACTTAACAGCATCGTAGGTTGAAATAGGTTGGCTCAAATACAGAACCGCGAATAAATAAAACAGTTTGTTTGTATGACAGTCTAACCTAACCGTTATGACCTTTTGCATATGCATGCACTATATAAAAACAGATAGATTAAGGGTAAGAAAATGGATGGATGGATGGATAGATAAAGTGACACATTTCGTCCTAAATAGCTCTGTAAGCTCTTCACAACGCTGCCAACACACCACATATTCAAGAAATCAGTGATCAAAGTGAGTAAAAACCGTGGGCGTGTAAATAATAAGGCAAAAGCACCATAAGGTCAGACACTGTGAAAATCTGGATGTAATGTCCCCTTTAAAAACAGTATTTTTAGATTTGAAAGTGAAATAGACTGCTCTTTCTTACAAGTCGATAATGGACCAAATTACACATATTACTTTACTTAACATCATCAATTATATCCCTTTTCTATTAAAGTCCCAGTAATGTATTTATATTTGTTTTCGCAGGAGGAGTGTGGCTTATCAGACCCTCAGGGTGATAGTGATGCAGACGCTGACATAGAAGACACAGACAGCAGGTGGGACACAGACATTTTATTTATTTCAGAATTTGGAGGCAACCCCTGAATCCTTTCCTTCACAGTCATTTTTATACTTATCCTATAAATGACACATACTTCTACTCCCTATAATCTCTGTATTTTGTTCAGGTTAGATAAAACTTGTATGATGTAGACACACTCGTACTGTATATATCATGGTTCAAAAGTGTTTGTGTTTACAATGTCCCTGCTCCTCGTGAACGCGGTTTCTCTCGCTGTGATTGGTGCAGGCTGCAGGAGGCCGGATCTCTGCACAGAATCAGCTCTCGTCGGCGTAAACGTCCCAGGATCTCGCGTCAGGACACGACTGAGAGCGAGGACGATGGAGGCCACAGCCACAGAACACACCGCTGGAACCTGCGCCTCAGCCCCAGCCACAGCCACAGCCGACCCATCATGGAGGCAAGTACTGACCACGGCTCTCCATTCTATTTTAGTAATCGGTTGAACATTACCTAAGATTAAAACTGGGGTAACCAACTTTCTTTTTTTTGCACAAACAAAATTTGAAAATTACAAATGACAAACTCACCACAACTAATATTAACTTTCAGATGGACTCTTAAACATATTATGCCTTTCTTTTTGTATGTATGTGTGTATGTATGTATGTATACAGTATATGTATGTATGTATTTATTAGGGGTGGGCGATATGGCCTAAAATTCATATTGCGGTATAATTTGGGTCACAGACGGTAGACGGTATATATTGCGGTATAATTTGGTGTGTGAATTTCAATATAGGTCTAGCAGGTTCTTGCATAAAATAGTCAAGATTGTTACTTATTTATATATTAGAATCTAGTATATATTTTTTTTTAGTTGTGAGACAAATGACGAGACAAATGCTGTAACATACATTATTTATGTGTGTTACAGTAAAGACCATTTACTGTAAAAGCAATTTAAAAAAAGAAAAGAAAAACATGTATGTATTTAAAAAATAAAAAAACTCACAAATGTTGAAATCAAAGCCTGCAGCTGTTAGACATGGTCATTTTTTGTTGTGTCTGAGAGTTTTGTGCAGGTACATGGCTTTAGTAAAAGCTATTGTTCGTTTACAAAGCTGGTCTTGCCATTTGTTGACGCTCTCTAAGCGCTTTTCTCTGCGCTTGCAGTGAACTGGATGATTCAATGGATTTATGTGCATTAAAACAGCACATTGGATTTGATGTAAATGGTCATTTTGGCACAATTCGTTTTGTTTAACAAAGTAGCTTTCGTGAGCTATTGACCGCGGAGGTCCGAATCTGACGCTAACTTTACCAAACTTCTGCTGTGATGCTGCGGACACGGCACACGCATGGATCTATTTTGGCTCACGCTGGCGCTTCGAGCTTACGCCCCTTTGACACTGATTGGCCAAAAGGTAGACGCTTAAACTGTGATTGCTGTGTGTGTATTTACCTCTGCTGGGGCCGCGGTGACAACAACACAGAGACAAACACGGTGTGAATGCCGTGCTGCTGTTTGCTGTTTCCAGTGGTGTCCAATAGTGCTAGGCTAATGCTAGGCTAATGTCGCAACCTATCGCAATATGCCGGTATAACAAAAATCTCTACCGTGGGCCAAATTTATATCGCATACCGCTTATACCGTTTATATCGCCCAGCCCTAGTATTTATATATTTATGTATGTATGTATGTATGTATGTATGTATATATGTATGTATGTATGTATATATTTATGTATGTATGTATGTATATATGTATATGTATATATTTATGTATGTATGTATGTATGTATGTATGTATATATGTATATTAGGGCTGTCAAAATTATCGCGTTAACGCACGTTAATTAATTTTTTTCATTAATCGCGTTAAAAAACGTAACGCATTTGACGCATGCCCATGCGTCCCATAATAACACTCAGAATGTCGCGGACACATGCGTGTGTAAGATGGGGACAGAGCAGGTAGGCCCTCTGGGAATTAAAGTTTTGAAAGAATACACGCGTGACCGCGGGGCACTTGTTGTTTCCTGTATGAACTCTGCATGATGAGCTGCGGGCGCGACAGCGCTCTGGACAGCAGCACCACTTCCAGCGGCTGTGATCACGGCGAACGGTGCTGCGTAATGGGATCATATCCAAGACCACGCACAGAACCATTACAGAACTATTCTCTAGTGTGCGTACGTGTCTTTGCGCAACCGATGCACACAATATGTACAGCGCAGAAGCTGGACTGCGGAGCCTCAGTCTCCTCCGTGTCTTCTCCCGAAGCGCACTTGCTAAATTAAAGCTGAGGTACCTAATTTTCCTTTCGACTACCAGTTCATGTTAGTTGTGCCAAAAAAAGTAATGTTGTGAGCAAATCAAACAGATTTAATGACATTCTGCATTTCAGACTACTTTGAAATGTCCCTCATTTTTAACAAACAATGGTTTTGGTCTGAGTCTAAACAGAAAGACAGAATGTTAATAATGTTAATTCCATTTTATATGGATTTATTGTTATAACAAACAAATACAGTACATATGTTCACTAAGCTGTCATTTATCTTTCCATTCAAACAACAATTTACAGAAAAAAATGGCATATTTTTGCCAATAGTTTGAAATGCAATTAATTACGATTAATGAATTTTTAAGCATATATATTTATGTCTGTATGTATGTATATATGTCTGTATGTATATATTTATGTATGTATTTATTTAGTATCACATATTACAATTACATTTAAAATACAAATGAATATATAGATATTGTATTCATGTCTTGTCACAAAAATGAAAATGTATGCATTATTACAAAGATGAGTTCCCCTCTGATTGACATATGTAAAATGTATGCGTTTTAATAATATTCTAGTGATCCCTGACACAATAAAATCCCAAGACTAATGACTTTTCCTCCACAGAGCACCTTCGTAACCCGCACATGTGTCTGTTCTGTTTCAGGAGAGCATTTCGCAGGTGCGTCCTCTGGTCGTGTGTCCTCTCTCAGACAGAGACAGTGCCGTGACGCCCGGTCCGTCCAAGCGTCCACTCCCGCGCTCTCTGCTCTTTCTGCTCATCCTTCCTCTCTCCCTCTCTGCTGTTATTATCATTATGACCTATTTCACACCGTGGACAAGCGCTCGATGAGGATTTATATTTATTTCTGTTATTTCTTGATTTAGGAAATGTTAGGAAAAGTACTGTAAGTCGTTTGATTGAGGGTTCTCACGCATACTGAAGGAGGATGTTTGAGTTTTAGTCCTGGCTTCAAAGTCTAAAAGGCAGTCTGCTCCGATTCCAGAACATTTTGTTTCATTGGCCTCAAAAGTTTGAAAGCTTAATGGAACCAGCTATGTGCTCACTACTGTAGGATCCATACGCAGTTATCTTCCAACCAAAACACCATTGAGGATTCTACAGTCTCAAAAATAGATATAAAATAAAGATATACAGTTGAAATCGTCTAGATACACACTAGATACACAAAATACATGTAGAGACCTCCTGTTTCTCACTATATGAGACTTATCAGTTTTTGGTTAGATACTTTTAAAAACATTATCTTTGCTCAATGTCGCAGTATTGTGAGAGGTATTTTATTTCTAATTTAAAGAATTATGTAAGTAAGTGTTCAGATGATTTTCCATTCAATTCACACACAGTGATGACAGAAGCCAGACTTTGAACACCAATTACGGCAATTCCACCAAATGTATGTCAGTTTAAAAGTCAATTTCATAATTGATGAAATGGACTTTTAAACTGTTTGATTTGGGTCAAAATTTGCATGTTACAATGGGTTGGAATTCTGGCCCATTCTTCATGAGAGAAATGGTGTAAAACAGAGGAACCTTTGTAACCTCCAATTTCATAATGTTTTGTATGTAAACTGCTGGTAATTACCACTATTCATGATAGTTGCTAAGACTTTAAAAAATAAATTCAACATTTAATTTTTTTTTTTTTTAATCAGAATCCTTACGGGAAAAATGCGTGAGACTTTCACTTCTGCACACAAATGCCAGGACGGGCTCTACACAGCTCGAGTAGTTTTCCAAGACCGACTTTTAATAGCTTTTTATTTGTCATTACCGATGAAACTCTACTCTGAACACTGCAGTCAGTAGGCAGAGTTTGCCTGGATGACAAAGGCCTAATCTGCATGTCTTTTCCATATTTGTCGGTGTGCGTGGGAACCCTCTGTCTGATGCATTAGGCTTAATCTGTGTCGTTCTTATGAAACCTGCTCTGTCTGCGTCTCTCCCACACAACTGTAAAAATAACATTGTCACAGCGTTCTGTTCTGAAGGGGTTTCAGAGCAGGTCAATTACACTGCAAACAGACCTGTCCAGTCAAGAGCGGTTCTGCTTCAAATCCAGGAGAAGAATCCAAATTTTGTCATGTATTCCATTGCGTTGTTTGTTCATAAGCAGATGATGGACGTTAACATTTGAATCCCAGGCTTATAAATATCTCATTTGAACAATAGTTGAATTTAACCGCGGCTGGACATGGACTTTTTGCAGTGTAAACGTTCTCAGATGGAAACAAAACCAAGATGCTGTTTGAACTATGCAATTTATGTGATTTTTAAATGATACCCTGTTATTACTTTTAACAAAATCGCTACACTACAACATATACACTGCCATTACAAAGGTTTTGATCACTTCGATGACCAGAGTAACAGAGACATTGTTCCTGTGGTAAAAGACTGAAGCTGGAAAGAGGAACAGATGACTATCACACCAAACTCTCATGCATTAGGTTAACACTACTGATTAGAAAATATGCAAAACTGGCCTTCCTTTAAAGCTGGGGGACCTGACTTTTAAACCACAGACAATGGACCTATGTAATGAAATACATCTAACTATCAATTTGGTTGGATATAAGTTTTCACATGTTTTTGGCCTCTATCACAAGTGAAAAAGAGAGGACCACTCTCACTCAGCCAATCAGCTCCCTGCCCAAAGCATCAAATAGTGACTCATAGGGCTCTTTCTCACAAAATATTACATTATGCATTTAAGATGACGATTACATGCAGTGGTCTGATTTGTTCATATGTGAATGCAAGTAAGTAATTGGTAATCTTTATATTACACGGACCAAAGTCACACAAAGCCCTATGCAGTTTTACAAAATTGATTGTTTTTGGAAGGAATAAGTCAGATTCAGATTTATTTATTTACCATTTACAGTAAATAAATTGGAAAAACTGTGCAAGACTACCCCAGTGTGCACCAGACGGCACACACCAGAGCTCCTGCCACGGCGCCATCTTTACGGGTCCATGTGGATCGAATTAATCAGGTACCCCAACTTTAAAGGTCCTATATTTCGCTTTTCTTCACGGTTCACTGAGAGTGGGGGCATGTCAATCCAATCCACTTTATTTATATAGCACATTTAAACAACAGTTACGTTTCCAAAGTGCTGCACAAAAAAGTATAAAATAAATAACAACTTATCCTTAGCTTCACCAAGTATAAAAGAATAAAAATATATAAAACAGATTAAAACCATAAATAGAAAAATAAAAACACAGAGGACCACACAACTCACACAGTGTTAAAAGCCAAAGAGTAAAAGTGGGTCTTAAGACGAGACTTAAAACACTCTACTGTGGGGGCCGTCCGGACATGGAGGGGAAGAGCGTTCCAGAGCTTAGGGCCGACCACAGAGAAGGCTCTGTCCCCCCGGGTTTTAAGTCTCGCGTTAGGGACCACGAGCTGGAGCTGGCTCTCGGACCTCAGGGCGCACGCAGGAGTGTAAATTTGGATGAGGTCCGAGATGTAATCAGGGGCCTGTCCATGCAAAGATTTAAAAACAAACAGTAAAATTTTAAAATCAATTCTAAAATGAACAGGGAGCCAGTGCAAAGACGCGAGTACAGGGGTGATGTGTTCGCGCTTTCTGGCCCCCGTTAAAAGTCGTGCTGCTGCGTTCTGGACCAACTGCAACCGGGAGAGGGTTTTCTGATTGACACCAGCATAAAGTGCGTTGCAGTAGTCCAGACGACTGGAAATAAAAGCATGCACAACCTGTTCTAACAAGTTAAAAGATAAGAATGGCTTCACTTTTGATAAAAGCCGAAGATGATAAAAACACGATTTTAAAACGCCATTCACTTGTTTGTCAAATTTAAAATCACTGTCTATAGTCACGCCAAGGCTGGTGGCTTTGGAACGCACATAATTTCCTAGTGTCCCAAGTCAGTAAGGGCCGGTCCAAATGTTAAAATTTCCGTTTTTCCCTTATTCATTACTAAAAAATTCTGGGCTAACCAAGCCTTGACGTCACATAGACAGTTGAGCAGGGGCGTCAGGGGGGCATGGCCTCTCGAAATTGGCATATAAATTTGGCAGTCATCTGCATAAAAGTGATAGGACACTCCGTGTCTGTTAAAAATCTCCCCAAGTGGGAGGAGATAGAGTGCAAAAAGGATAGGTCCCAAGATAGATCCTTGAGGGACACCACAATAAAGTGAGGCAGAAGAAGATGGGCATCCCCCAGCCTGACAGAAAGACCTGACAGGTAGGACCTGAACCACTCCAAAGCAGTCCCCCTGACGCCCACACAATCTCTCAGGCGGTCTAAAAGAATTGTGTGGTCAACAGTGTCAAAAGCAGCAGTAAGATCTAAAAGCACTAAAATGGTGGAGCCTCCAGAATCAGTCAATAAAAGCAAATCATTAAAAACCTTTAAAAGTGCAGATTCAGTACTGTGCAAAGCTTTATATCCAGACTGAAATGGGTCTAAAGTGCTGTTTTCATTTAAAAAAGGTTGCAGTTGTGCCAAAACACATTTCTCCAATATTTTTGAAACAAAGGGTAGTTTTGAAATGGGGCGATAATTTGATAAACACCATGGGATCAAGACCTGCTTTTTTTATCAAAGGCTCAACAACAGCGCTTTTACAAAAGGAAGGCACATTGCCAGTTAGCAAGCTGCTGTTGATGATGTCCCTCACAGAAGAGCCAATAGTGCCCCAAACCTCTTTAAAAAAGCGAGGAGGGACTGGGTCCGTGGGACAGGACGAAGGTTTGAGTTTGCTCACCATCTCAGTCAACACAGACATGGACACTGACACAAACTGACTAAAAACGGAAGAACATCGAGTAGCCATGTTAAAACTCAATGATGAAGGAGTTAGATTGGCTCGAATAGAAGCAACCTTGTCATTAAAAAAGGAGACAAATCGTTCACACGTTTCATTAGTTATCTCCAGTGAAGTGGCTGGATTCGGATTAAAAACAGAACTAATAGTTTTAAAAAGAGTACGTGGCTTACTGATGCTATTTGTAATCAAGTCTGAAAGATAATTTGTTTTCTCAGCTTTAACCACACTTTGGTAGTCCCGGCACTTTTCTATAAGAATTTGGTAAGAAACCTCCAAGTGATCCTTATTCCACCTACGCTCCCCCCTTCGCCACTCACGCCGAGCTGCCCGCGTGGTGTCATTGAGCCAAGGCTCCTGTTTTTGTTTTGGACAAATAGCTCTAACCGGCGCTATACTGTCCAGGATCCTAGAGCATGTGGACATAAAAGAGCACATTAATTGTTCAGTGTCTGGGGATACAACAGAGTGGGAAAAACTCTGCGGTGACACAGTGAACAGAGGAGAAAAGGCGGCTGCAGTGTCAGACTTAATAACACGCCCATGACGCACAGCAGGTGGCTTTACGTCAGGGTACAGACTTAAACTGAACATAACAGGACTGTGATCAGAAAACACAGCATTACCAACAACAAGTTTGTCAACAGTAAAACCATAAGACAGTACAAGGTCTAAAATATGACCGTGAACCTGTGTGGGGACAGCAACATGCTGTGTCAAATTAAAAGCTTCAATCAAGTCCAAAAAGTCTCCGGCCATGGGCTTAGACGGACAACAAACGTGTATATTAAAATCTCCGACAATTAAAATCCTGTCATAGCGCACCAGACTAAAAGAAACGAACTCAGTAAAGTCTTTTATAAAATCTTTGCTGTGTTTTGGTGGTCTGTAGATAACGGCGCAAAGTACAGGATCAGTCTGTCGCAGCTCGCAACAGCTGAGTTCAAATGAGTTAAAAGACCACTCTGTAATTCCTTTGTGATGAACGCTTTCTCTTAAAATCGTTGCTATGCCTCCGCCACGGCCAGTGGCTCTCGGTGAACTAATAAAAGTACAGTCTGGAGGCAATAGCTCAGAGAATGCAGCAGACTCACCAGTGCGGATCCAGGTTTCTGTCAAGAACAGTACATCCAGAGAGCGCGATGTGAAAAAGTCCCGGAGGATGAATGTCTTGTTCACCACGGACCTCGCATTCACGAGTGCGCAGCTCATGGACGCCGTTGTGGACACACGCGAGGCCCGCCTCAGCGGCTGGAGATTGCGCAGGGACACACCGGCCGAGCCCCGGTGAGAAGAGCGGAGAGGACGCAGTGCGCAGGGATCCTCCCGCTGTCCGATAATAGGCACCAACCAAGTCCGTGCCGGTCCAAGCGCGCGCCGGGAGAGATAGCGGCGGAGACAGCCTCTGTAGTCCCGTGGAAGTGAGGAGGACCACGCCATGCCAGGATACCGTGCCAGCCAAGCTTTCACCTGCACCAGGCGGCCAGATCGTACTCCTCGGCGTTTACGCTTCCTGGGCAGCGGCGCATTTACCCGGAGGAGGTAGTCAGGCAGGTCGCAAAGGTAAAAGGAACCCGACTCTTTAGCACTGTAAAGTGCACATGATTGCACTGTTTCTTTTATTTTTAACAACTCCTGACGTTCATACACCAGAAGTGAGTTGATGGTCCTTGGAATAAACGTTAAAACAGTAATAAAATAGATAAAACTCAGCAGAGACAAGCGGCGTACCAGACACACCGGCGCCATCTTGACTTTTTCTCCTAGGGAGTGCACATTGTTCCTCATCATGGGGGGGCTGGCTCGGGTCATTTTGGGACAACTAAGACACTGTATCGCTTGCGTCAGGAATATTATTGGGGCCAGCACCGTCGTGATGTCGAGGACTTTTGTCGTCGGTGTGATGAGTGTGCTGCCTACAAGGGGCCTCAGGACCAGTCCCATGCCCCCCTGCAGCAACAAGCAGTTGGTGCGCCCATGGAGAGGGTAGCTGTAGACATTATGGGCCCTTTCCCAGTCTCAGATCAGGGAAATAAATATGTGATGTGTGCAATGGACTATTTCACAAAGTGGCCCGAGGCCTATGCCCTGCCAGACCAGGAAGCAGAGACAGTGGCAGATACACTGCTGGAGGGCATGTTCAGCCGTTTTGGTACCCCAGACATCATTCATAGTGACCAGGGCAGAAATTTTGAGTCACGTGTCTTTGCAGCCCTCTGTGACCGGCTGAACTTGCAGAAAACCCGTACCACACCATTGCATCCACAGAGCGACGGCTTAGTGGAGCGTTTCAACCGCACTATGCAGCAGCAATTGGCAATCCTCACTGCAGCTCACCAGCGTGACTGGGATAAACACATTCCCCTTGTTCTGATGGCCTATCGATCTGCTGTCCAGAACTCCACTAACTGTACCCCGGCTCTGTTGATGCTGGGCAGAGAGATACGGACTCCGGCAGCTTTGGCTTATGGACGTCCCCCAGGGGATCTGGAGGACGTGCCGGGACCAGAGTATGCCAGAAAACTACAAGATAGAATGGAGTCGGCTCATGCTTTTGCTCGAGACCAGTTGGAAAAAGCTGGTATGAGACAGAAAAGGAACTATGATGTGAGAAGTAAAGGTAAAGACTTCAGTACTGGGGACTTAGTTTGGGTTTACACTCCGAAAAGAAAGAAAGGACGCTGCCCTAAACTAGATAGCCACTGGGATGGTCCTTGTCGTGTGTTAGAGCAGGTGGGGGAGGTGGTCTACAGAGTACAGGTTCCCCCTCGAGGCAGGAAGGTAGTTCTTCACCGGGACAGGCTCGCACCATACAGGGGTCAGACAGTACCTTCATTTGAACAGCGGCTATGCCCACAAAGCAGCCCAAGGCATTTAGCTAGCCAGAATCCCTCTTTCTCTTCCTCTAATGCTCCATCCCAGCCACCAGCTGTGGCAGGAACTATCTGTGGGTCCAGTCCCGTCAGAACACGGAGAATCCGGCATAGACCCCCACGTTTTGCTGATTTTGTTATGTCCCCTTGAGGGCAAGGGACTTTTAAAGGGGGGAGCTGTGTAATAGTTCTGTGTTATCGGTTTACTACCACAGGGGGGCGCTCAGGTTATGAGAGAGTTTTCCAGAGGTGGGGGGTTTCCCCACGAGTTGACACGACGGGAGTGTGTGTTGAAAATGTGTGAGTTAAGCGTGAGCTGTGGCTAACAGCAGCTTGTTCGGTCACCTTGTCAATAAAAGCATCTTGAAGAGCACTGTTGGAGCATTCATTACCTGGGAGTATTACAATATAATAAGCCTTGGATGTTATGGTGAAGTAAATAAGCAGAAACCGTACCTGCAGCAACCCAATACACGGCACCTCTCGCACCCATGTGCTTCCTGGTTAGGGAAAACATAACCGGCTGATTGGCCAGCTCTGGTCACGAGACGCGCACGCAGGGGGGAACACAAAGATCAGTATTGTAAATCGAGGTATCACTCCTACAGGATTTTTCACCCGTGTTACACAAGGGTGCTTTTTAAGGGCAAGGGTGAGAATTGGGACAGGCCTAAAAGATGCACATTTCAGATTTGTGCATCTAAAATCTGCCATAAAAAAAGTACATTTTGTTACAACATGATTTATATAGATGATAATATAATAATATATGTATATACAAATTATAACTGATGGTTTTAATTTAAAAATGTTAATAACAGTCAAAATAAAAAACATGAAGGAACATTAATAGAGCAATGACTATTATGGTAGAAAATCATGATCTCAACAGACCTCAGAAGCTAAGCAAGGGAGGGCCTGGTTAGGAGTGGGATCAGAGACCTCTCGAGCACACAGTGGGGCGGCTCACTTGTTTGATTTTCTAAATAAAACACTTTGATCAGAATGACTTTGCATTGTAGTAAAGACTGCAGTGTTTTGTTTTCTTCCATGGCTCAGACAGGTTGGTGTAGACTTCACTAGTTCACCGAGCTCTTCCTTCAGCACACAACAGAATATGGCCCAGAATAATATACCTGTATTTTTTAGTATGTTGAAGTGACACTTTCTTGAGTGATTTGAATATATTTCGACTGTTGTCAAACAAGATTATAAGATTATCAATTAACAATTTCGTCTTTTAATTTATTTTTATAAAAAATGGAATTCTAGCTGAGAAAGAAAAAAGAAGCAGTGTGTTTTTGCTGAGCAGTGGAGGCAGGGGGAGGGCGTGGTTTGGAGAACGCCTCTGTTATAACCTTTGCTTTCACTTTCAACACCACAACGAGACAGAACGTTTCATTGGTATTGTCAGGGAACAAAAAAATCTGTATCTAAAGCCATTAAAGACCTCGGACTGAAACTACGACCATGGAAGGTAAGTTCAGAAATGTAATTTGGTAAATCTATATTTGTACAAAAATATCATTATCAACATATCATTTCACTTCCTGAAAGATTGTTTGCACATCAAATGTTCACATATTGATTGTGCAAAAATAAATCTTATAGTTTAGACCTTTAAAGAGCTAGAAAAAAAAAAAAACAAGTTAAAAAAGCAGCATAACCCGATATGTACGACAAGAGAAACAGAGATAAGATCGATTTTCCTCACTTGTTGTCACTTATATTTTTACACAATAGACCTTAAATATTGTTACTTAACTCTAGTGACAGTTTGTGTAAAAAATGTGAATTGAATGTTTCAAAACACTGCATGTAGACCTAATGATGAGATCTAAAATGGAATCTTTTGATCTGCTCTGCTTTTGTGTCTGTCCAAACAGACACAATAGCGGTTATGAAATGTAAAACATAGCTAAATCCAGTCAAGAGTTTAGATCTAATCTCAGATAATCCATAAATCCTAAAGAAGAAAGTTGTTCACGTGGGGAAAAGACAGTAAAATTTTATATTGGGATCTCCTGAATCAAAGTGTGTCTCATATATGAGACTTTGATTGTTTTATCAATATAACTGTCAGATTATGACTGTGTTTTCTTATGCGGTTAATCACACAGAGAGGAATTCTATTTGTTACATAATTTCCTCTATAGATTTTAACATTCCCTTTTATTATTCCTTATCTTGACTGAATAAAACGTCTATAAATATTTCCGATGGTGGTTAGGTCCCTCAAGGAAAATGCATGACTTAGAAATGTAACTATGCTGGTATCAAACCAGTTCTCAAAGGGCCAGTGTGGCTGCAGGTTTTAGCTCCAACCTGAGCAAACTCCACCCATTTCCTCAGGTGAGCAGTTTATCTGAAGATTTGAGGAAATGGGTGGAGTCTGGTGTTTTTCTGCTCAGGTTGGCATTAAAACCTGCAGCCACACCGGCCCATTAGAGAAATCAGTTAAGTCATGTGGGATATAATTATGATTTCAGGGCAAGAACTGAGAATCATTCTTCTGGGAAAAACTGGATCAGGCAAAAGCAGCTTGGGCAACACTATACTTGGAGAAAAAACATTTACATCAAAAAGTTCCCCAAGCTCAGTGACCCATACCTGTACGTCCGGTGAAAAGAAGATCGGGGACAAAACCGTTCGTGTGTTTGACATTCCAGATGTTTTTGACACAGACCCAAAAAGCACTGCTCTGGGTGAAACGTTTTACAATCTTGTCAAAGGCTGTGCCCCGGGGCCCCATGCTTTTGTGCTGGTGCTCAGAGTGGACAGGTTCACAAAGCAGGAGAAAGATGTGGTCAGTAAAATACAACATTATTTCTCTGAAGAAGCTCTGAAATACACCACTGTGGTTTTCACTCATGGAGACCAACTTGATGACGGGCAGAAGATTGAAGATTGGTATCAAGAGAACAAAGATCTGAGGTCCCTGGTGCAGAAGTGTGGAGGTCGCTGTCACGTGTTTGATAATAAATACTGGAACAACAGCAAGGATCCATACAGGAACAACACATATCAGATCAAACAGCTGCTGCAGACCATTGAACACACTGTGAAGAAGAACGGAGGAGGCTGCTACACCAATGGCTTCTGGCAACATATCAAATACATGAGAATAAAAGGCTATCCGTTAAAATACATTCTGTTAGGTATGCTGGGTGTGGTAGTGGATGGAGGAGTTGTTACTGCTGCTGCTGGAACTGCTCGTGCTGCTGGTGCTGGTGCTGCTGGTGCTGCTGCTGGAGCTGCTGGTGCTGCTGCTGCTGGTGCTGCTGGAGCTGCTGGTGCTGCTGCTGTTGGTGCTGCTGCTGATGCTGCTGCTGTTGGTGCTGCTGCTGTTGGTGCTGCTGCTGGTGCTGTTGGTGCTGCTGGTGCTCGCATAGGGGTCGCTGTAGGAAATGCTGCAGTGGAGGCAGTAGTGATGTACAGTGTGGAACTAAATAAAACAAAGAAACTGGCCACGAGTGCAGTGCGTGATGTGAGGAGGAAGACGGCAGGTGCAGAGCAGACACTGGAAAAAATCGCATCTTTGGGGAAAAAAAATAAGTAAAATATTGTATGGAATGTTTTAGGGGAAATGTATTGAATGTCTCCACAGTTTGGATTTCAGTTCAAATGATTTGTGCTTGATAGATTATTGATCCTGAGGAAAAATGTGCATTAGTCTCTTTCATTATAGGTGTCCATATCACTAAATGACCAAATCAAGACATTATTTTCTATTTTTGCCATTAACTCATAAAATGGCAGAAATACAGATTCTGATTTTAGCTTGATTTTTAATGATACAAATGTTAAATGTGTTTGATGGTATCTTGTACAAACAATGTTGTATTGTCATCGTGAAGAAACATTTGATGCAAAAAGTTTCAACATGATCATTATTCACTGTCTACATGTACAATAAAAAAGATTGCCTTTATGAAAATGTGACATCAGGTATTTATTTAAATATTTAATAATCTTCATTTCAGTAATTTACATTTACACTAAAGGGAAGAGGGCGATGATACGATGGGCAATTAATAATGGAAAATACACACGGCATGCACCCTGCACGCACACACGCACACAGGCACGCACACACACGCAGACACACTGGCACGCTGACACACGCACACAGGCGCGCACACAGGCACGCACACAGGCACGCACACAGGCACGCACACACACATACACACACTAAAAGTTCTACAAACTGAACAAGTAATGCGCTGCAGTACGTGTGTCTATACTTTGTGTCAAATGTAAACGGCTCTGCGTCGCTAACTTACCTCTTTGTTTTCATCACGACTTGGGCACATGTGAGTCCAACAACCCAAAGCATTAGCAAACAGCACCGGCTCCACGGAGTCAGGGTGCGTTCACAGACGGGGGAAACCGTGGGAATTTTTAGCTTTTGGCGGAAAAAGTGCGGAAGATTCTCAAGATTAACATTATTACATTGCCGTCTTCCGAGGGGGCACTGGGGGTGGCAAGGATATTTTTAGAGGTGGCAGTGGCCACCCTGGCTACCCCTCTGGCTCCGCCACTGGGTTTGTGGCTTCAGTAAAAGCTATTGTTCGTTTACAGCTGGTCTGGATATTTGTTGACGGTCCCTAAGTGCTTTTCTCGGCGCTTGCAGTGCATTGGATTCAGAGGATTTCTCTGCATTAAAACAGCGCATTGAATTTATAAAATCAACATAGAGATGATCATTTTAGCACAATTACTTTTGTTTAACAAAGTAGCTTTCGTGAGCTATTGACCGCGGAAGTCCGAATCTAGGAAAATGACGCTACTTTACCAAACTTCTGACGTGATGGTGCTGCGGGCACGGCCCACGCTGATGATTGTCAACATTAAACCAACGTCTGTGATCAAGCCTACGCCTCCTTTGACACTGATTGGCCGAAAGGTACAGTAGATGCTTAAACTGTCATCATTACTGTGTGTGTGTGTGTGTTCGTGTGTGTGTGACATGCAGTGAGTGAGTGATGCATTTAAGGTGGCTCTGAAAATACGGGACAAAAGCCGTCCCGTATCAGTTCAATACGGGACGCACATAGTTTTTGTATAATACGGGACAATTCCGTATTTCAAGGGACGGTTGGCAACCCTACTCATGAAGTCATATCTGTGTCAGATCTTATCTGTGGAGAAATCAGACACATTGTGCGTGTGACATGGAACACATTTGCTGCGTCGATTTGCATATTGGAGAATATCCTGCGAGTGCACTCCCCTATGGATAAGCCCTCTTCTGTTGAGGGCACTCACAATACAAGTGCTCTCAAAATTGGGACAAGGTCGTCTTGACTCTGGGCAGCAGCAAGAGGCCATTTCCTGCTCACCTCGAAGTCCAAGTTGGTTCATATGCCACTAATATGTCACAAATGTATTATGGTGCAAGGCCATGGAGAGACTTGTACACACGCACAGCTGCTTTAAAGTCTATTCTCTGAGCCACAGGAAACCAGTGCACGGACCTGAGGACTGGACTGATGAGATCAAACTTCCTGGTTCTAGTCAGGACTCGAGCTGCAGCATTTTGAATATACTGCAGCCGTTTTACAGCTCGTTTGGAGAGACCCTTGAGCAGGCTGTTACAGTCTATAGTCTCTATAGTATTCTATATTTTTCAGAATCTGAATCGGAATCCTTTTATTGCCATGTGAGTAATTCACAAACTAGGAAATTGCTTTGGTTCTTGGTGTAAACAAGTTAAAGCAAAATAGAATCAAAAAGGCATGCATAAATAAAAATTGACATACATTTCTTCAGTTTACTATAAGTGCACTAGGTGCACACAATAGGCCATTAAGAGTTTGGTAGAGTGCAGTAAAGTGAAAGTAGTATAAAGTGACGGTCATAAGGGCAGAGGTCAGTGATGGTTTATGAAGTGAGTCCAACAGCAGAGGGGAAAAAACTGTTCTTGTGGCGGGAGGTTCTAGTCCTGATGGACCGTAGTCTCCTGCCCGAGGGGAGTGGTTGGAATAGTCCATGTGCAGGGTGAGAGGGGTCGGCTGTGATACGACCAGCCCGGCCTCGAGCTCGGGCGACGTACAGGTTCTGCAGCGACGGGAGGCTGCGGCCGATCACCTTCTCTGCAGAGCGCATTATGGGCTGTAGTCTCTGTTTGTCCCTGACAGTGGCTCCAACGAACCACACGGTGATGGAGGAGGTGAGGATGGACTCGATGATGGTCGTGTAGAACTGCACCAACATCTGTGCAGGCAGCTTGGCTTTCCTGAGCTGCCGCAGGAAAGTACATGCTCAGGTTGTTACCACTGCACCAGGACACCAGCCGGTCGACCTCTCTCCTGTAGGCAGACTCATCGTTGTCGGCGTCGTCTACAGATCTGTTGGCTCTGTAGGCGAACTGCAGGGGGTCCAGGAGGGCAGAGGTGGAGGACTTGAGATGAAAGTGGGCCAGGCGCTCAAATTACTTCATGACTACAGATGTCAGTGCCACAGGTCTGTAGTCATACAGTCCAGTGAGCCTGGTCTTCTTGGGGACATGGACAATGATGGAGGATTTGAAGCAGGCCGGGACATGCTGCAGATTTTATAGATTTGAAATGGCTATTAAAATTTAGGTCTGAGTGCATTATTACTCTTATTTGAAGGTTTTAGGGAGAGAGGCTGGAGGTGACAGATAACGCCCTCTCTTTGTTTCTGGGTAGCAAAGACAGTCACTTCAGTTTTGTCTCAATTTAGCAAGAGAAAGTTGTTTTGCCACTCACTGATCTGTTGGGTGCAGTGAAATAGTGCGTATTGAGACGTTGCCTGTGTCAGTGTTCTGCCGGATATTGCTTGTCTTCACAAGAGCGGTCTCAGTGCTATGGTGGGGTGTAAAGCCAGACTGGAACATAACAAATAAGTTGTTAACTATAAGAAATGTGGTAAGTTGTTGGTAGAAAACTTTCCCATCTCGCAGATCTGAGATGGGACAATAATGTGTATGTACTTTGCTCGCTGTTGGGTTGTTATTTGTGGTGTGGAGATGGTGGCGTTTTTGATGCCTCGAGCCTTGTCATTGAAAAACTTTGCAAACTCTTCACATATAGATTTGGAAGTTAGCTCTAATGGCAGCTGAACAGGGAGGTGGTCACTCTATGAATTGTTGAAAACAAAACAAAAATATTACAAGAGGGCGCCTCGCATGGTCGCCTCGGCTCTTCGGTGCGCTCTTTTTCTTATTTCTCTGCTTTAATAGTGTCTCTGCCTGCTCCTACACCCGTCAGGAGCTTTTGAACATTAGACCCACCATCCCCATGGACCTACTGCCTATTTTCTTGGCGTCTGCAGCTGATTTGGTTCATGTCTAAGCCAAAAAAGAGAAAACAGAATACGCCAATATTTACTGCAGTTGTCTATCATTTCAGAAAAATATGTTTCTCTCGTTTGAGGTAGCACCCGGTTAAACTAGCACAATTTATCTTTGAAGCTCTTATTAATCCGGAAGTTGGAATTGCGCCACTTTCGCACAGCCCTCCGGAACACTTGTTTCTGTGCCAAAAGTCAGCTTGTGTCCACTGCAGATTCTGCTTATTTTCAACCATTTTAACCTTCAAAAGAGCGATGGTGTCCACAACATTCAAAACACTAGAGGTGACAATTTCTCAAAAAGTATCATCATGTTTCATTTATGTGTCTTCTTTGAAAAATTAGAGTCCGCTGGTGGGGCCCCTCACATGCTGAGTCAGACCAAAGGTTCAAAGTACAACGCTCAGCAAATCATCAATAAATAAAACATTATTAGAAAGCAAAATAATCAATAAAACTGTGGCATGACTGTGGAGGTGTGTATGGAACAATAAAGAGTATTGAAGTGGCTTTGTTTTCTCGTATTTTGGGTACAAATTTAAAATGTGGTAATCTTCTATGTAAATGGTCATGAGAAGAAGTAAAATTATCAAGTAAAGATTATTAGAAAGATATCTGATATTAAGTTAGCAAGTTTCAAATGTGTTTTTCATTGTGAGCAAGTGTGGTTGATTAATTAACTTTCAGTCAGTCTTTGTGTCGTGGTGACATAGCTGGAGCCCTCTGTGTCCTAGCATTCAGAAAAAAACATAACCTACGGACAATGCACTAATTGTTTAACACAGAGATGAAACAATTTTTAAATAGGATTTATTGTTTCAAAACATATTTTATGAATTAAAATAAAACCATTGATTCAAAGTTACTCAGCAACCTCTTTGGCCTGTAAAATAAACATATTCATTAATTATTCAAAGGCATAATTAAAAATAAAACAGTGAAGACTATATTATTAAATGTGGCTATATCAAAGCTTTACCTTGCCAGAGTCACGGCTCTTGACTCTCAGCTTGTTAACCTGGGACTCAGCGATGTCTGCACGCTCCTCAGCCTCCTCCAGCTCATGCTGAATCTTTCTGTTCTTGGACAGATGCTGGTTGGCCTGCTCCTCCTGTAGCACATGATTGTAATGTGTTGAATCTCTTCAGCATATCTGTTTATGTGATAAAACTAAATAGAATTGAGCACTTACCGCTTCTTCTGCCTGCCTCTTGTAAGACTTCACCTTCAGCTGCAGCTTATCAACCAGATCCTGGAGCCTGGCGACATTCTTCTTGTCCTCTTCAGTCTTGAACCCAACAAGGAGCCGATAGTTATCATTTGAAGAGATTACTAAATATATACTTACTTTTGTATATGGTTCACATACCTGGTAGGTGAGCTCCTTGACTCTTCTCTCGTATTTGCGGACACCCTTAATAGCATCTACTCCACGTCTCTGTTCATTTTCCACCTCTGTCTCCAGCTCACGCACCTTTTATAAATCATTTATTTATGTTGAGAGCACAATTTAACTAATTTATAATATTAATCTTACCCTTGATTCCAGTTTCTGGAGCTGCTTCTTGCCGCCCTTCATGGCCAGATTCTCAGCCTCATCCAGACGGTGCTGCAGGTCCTTAACATTAACTTCAAGATTCTTCTTCATCCTCTCAAGATGAGAACTGGTGTCCTGCTCCTTCTTCAGCTCCTCGGCCATCATGGCAGCCTAGAAACCATGTTTAGTTTTAATAATTGTATATCTAATTTGGTCAAAACCAAAAGGTATGCCATAGGAAGTCTTACATCAGTGATGGCCTTCTTGGCCTTCTCCTCAGCGTTTCTTGCTTCCTGAATAGTGTCATCAACTTCACTCTGGACCTGAACCAGATCAGTTTCAAGCTTTTTCTTGCTGTTCAGCAGACTTGTGTTCTGTAAAAATAGGAGAACAAGAACTAAATATTAAGCTCCAAAATGGCAATATTTATGTAATCAAAAGGTAATGAAGTCATTTTCACCTGAGAATGCAGAAGTCCAACACGTTCGCTGGCATCGACAAGCTCCTGTTCAGCAACTTTGCGTCCTCTTTCTGTCTGTTCCAGAGCAGCCCTGAGTTCCTCAATTTCAGCCAACATCAGGCCATTTCTGCGCTCCACCATAGCAGCTTGTTCTTTGAAGTCCTCCTGAGCTCTCACTGCATCATCAAGGTGCAGTTGGGCATCCTAGTTGGAGAAGAGTGTAAGTTAATATGGGTGCTTTAGAGAACTAGACATCCCCAAATGAAGGTCCCTATACCTTGAGCTGTGTCTGCACATTTCTCAGCTGTTTCTGGGACTCTGCAGCCTGACGATTGGCATGGCTAAGCTGAATCTCCATCTCATTCAAGTCTCCCTCCATCTTCTTCTTGATTCTGAGGGCATCATTTCTGCTTCTGACCTCAGAGTCCAGAGTGCCTTGCATGGAGTCAATAACCCTCTGGCTGTTCCTCTTGATCTGTTCCATTTCCTCATCTTTTTCTGCCAGCTTCCTGTCAACCTCACCCTTCACTTGATTAAGCTCCAGCTGAACACGAAGGATCTTAGACTCTTCATGTTCAAGAGTTCCCTGAAAAGGTAAGATAAAAAGTATGTAACCATGTATGTCATGTTAGGGAAGTGTACAAATCACAATATGATTGCTTACCTCAGCCTCCTCAAGGGCAGTCTGGATTTCAGACTTTTCTGTTTCAACCTGTTTCTTGGACTTCTCCAATTCATGGATGCTCTTGCCAGTCTCACCAATCTGCTCAGTCAAGTCAGAGATCTCCTCTATTGAATAATCATATATTTAGTCTTACAATATCAGCTGTGGATGTAAATAAATCTCCATTGTAAACTCACGCTGCAAGTTCTTGTTTTCACGCTTCATGGTCTCCAGCTGGTCAAGAGATTCTTCATAGGAGTTCTTCATCTTGAAAAGCTCAGTTCCCATTGAGCGGGCCTCCTTTTGAGCTCCCTCAAGCTCTGCCTGACCCTCTTCAAACTTCTGCTTCCATTCAGCCAGGACCTAAAGTGGGAAATTATCAAAAGAGGTTATGGTCAAATAGAAATGAAAAGGGTTAGGGTTAGAAATCAAATGGTTTACCTTGTCGAAGTTCCTCTGCTTCTTGTCAAGGTTGGCAGCGAGACCATTAGCTCTCTCCACATCCATCATGAGATCCTCAACCTCACTCTGCAACCTCTGTTTGGTCTTCTCCAGAGAAGCAGACTTGGAGTTGACAGCCTCAATCTGCTCCTCGGCCTCTTGGAGCCGTTGAGCAAGCTTTTTTCTTTATAAGAAATAGACATCATAAGTAAACCTACTGAATTTCAATGGTTTAGTTGTGCCGCAGTCTTTAAAACTCACTTGGATTCCTCAAGCTCCTCAGTGCGCTGGATAGCATCAGTTTCATACTTGGCTCTCCACTGAGCAACCTCGCTGTTGGCCTTAGACATACCACGCTGAAGTTCAGCCTTGGCCTCCTGCTCCTCTTCAAACTGTTCCCTGAGCAGATCGCAATCGTGACGAGCTGACTGGAGTCCATGAGCAAGGGCATTCTTGGCCTGAGGGAACAAATACATTATTGTATTTGTTGTATTGTATTTCAGATGGAATTAGTTTGTTACATACCTTGACCTCCTTTTCAATTTGCCTCTTGGTCTCCTCAATCTGCTGTGTGAAAGCCTGTTTACCTCTTGTCAGCTGAGAGACCAGGGCTTCCTTCTCTTCGACCAAGGTATTCGCACTATTGTGGAAGTTAATGAGAAGAGGCGAGATGAGTTCAGTGTAGACTCTTTATTCTCAACTTCACGCTGTTCAAGAATGACTAAGGTCAAGTTGGAAGCACTCAAAAAGTAACATCCAGCTCATGTCCACACTTCTGATAAATGGCCCTTTACAATGAGATTACCATTTGTGTGTGAGACGGATTACCACACTATTCTCAAGATACTATAGTATAATTCAATGCTTAAATAAACAAGAATACACATAACACACATCTTTTCTTATAGACAGAAAGGACAGACACATGTATGTAAAAACGTAGCTGTAGGATTAGGCAAATTAAAGCCTGGCAGACAAAATGATCAATAAAAATTTGCGATTTAGACCCCAGCAGAAATATTGCATGACGTTTGCAGAATTTAATTGAGATTATGAGCTAGTCAATGTCCCGGGGCCTAAACTCTGATCTTGTGAAGGAAGCTGTGCCGACACAATGATTCCTCCGGTGATAAGGTGGTGATGGGGAGGAGGTGGGTTGCTACACGAACTTGATGTGAGGACAGAGAGGCTCTTTTGATCCCAGTCTGGATTTCCGCTTCAGCTGCCTGTTTGGACCAAGATAGATTAATATATGTTATAGGGACTTTCTCCTCTTAGAAATGTCAGCTAAGGCCCCTGAGCCCGCACCTCAAAAGACTCCTCAGGATGGGAAGGAGCAGCGACTCTTCTCAGAGCTCCTCCTGTGCAAGATCCTCACCATACCTCTTAGTGACCACTCAGTTACGTTGCTGATCTTTTCCTATGAGCTCATGACCATAGGTTTCATTTGATCTCAGACAATATGACATTATTATAAGTGTTTGTTCTTTTAAAAAGCACATGATAATGGATTCAAAGGACAATCTGGACATCCATAGTTTCACCAAAAGCAGAATCTTTTACTACAAATACTTGATTGCTCTGTTCTGTTGACTGGTTTTACAGAAGCTGCCGTGCGTGTCGGTTCTGGGAGTGAAACGTTCAAATATCGTGACCATCGCTCTGAGCAGTCTGCCCCCTCCTCACCTCCTGCCTCCAGCCATCTACAGCATGGACTGCAGTGTTCTGGACCGAGAGGATATACAGGTGAATCATACAGCTCAGAAAACGATGAATATTTACTTTTTTCAAGACGTATCCACTTTACTTATATAACACATTTTATAAAACACAGTGCTGCACAGGTAAAGATAAGACGACAAAATATACAAGTCTGTCAGATTTAAATAAAAATAATTACATTGATTAGTATTATGATGCCGCTGTCTGCTGTATGCAAACTTCTGACATTCATGGCTAATTATCTTATATTTAGAAAATATACGGCTCAATATTGATCTCATATGAAGTTAGCAATGCACTCTTTTCTTTTCATAAAACACCGCACGGCTGGCAAATTCTCATTTATGTAAAATAAAAGCCTCCACAACATGACAATATCCCAAAGTGGTTCACCCCTCATTAGCCTGGCCTTTGCCATCCGTAAACTCCGGTCAAATCTTTTTTTCCCGGGATGTACGTCTGGGTTTGCTCCCACTGGCTGCGATTCAATCGGTAGAATTTCATCCTACCATTCAGCGAGCGGGGGAGGCGGGTGTTGTAGGTGACGTCAAGCATTTGCGCCGGTTGTAGTCACTGTAGTTTGGCAATGGCGGCATATGCGAAAATAAACGAAGCTCTTCAATCCATTCTGGCTTTGCTCCCAAATATCCAGAAATTGAAGTCTGAGCAAGAGAAATGTTTAGCAAATTTCATTGCTGGTAAAGATGTCATGGCTTTACTCCCCACGGGATTCGGCAAAAGCCTTATTTTCCAGTTAGCTCCGTTAGTGGTGAAGGAGATGGCTAGGCTGAATACTAGTGAAGCTAATCCTATCGTTGTAGTCGTTTCCCCTCTTTTGGCTTTAATGGAGGATCAAGTCAAGGAGGCTGAGAAGTTGGGAGTTAGCTAGTGCTGGACAGCTCGATGTGCACGACGATCGTGACATTTTGGAAGGACATTTCAGCCTGGTATTTGGGAGCCCTGAGTCTTGGCTACTCAACTCCAAATGGCGACGAATGCTAACCTCGTCTGTTTACCAAGACAACATCATTGGCATCGTCGTTGATGAAGTCCATGTTACATATAAATGGTAAGTGAACTTTAAAACAGCAGAAATTAGGCTTTTTTGCATACTCAATCGGGTAGACTATTGTTGCTTGATGACAATTTTGCATTCCGTTTCTTTTGTCTCAGGGGTGAAGCGTCCAAAGGCGAGTCACCATTCCGAGAGAGTTTTTCTAAACTTGGTGAGCTGAGATCCATCATGAAGGAAGGTGGGTTGAATGTTTTCTGTGTTGTTCCTGCTTGACATGTTAACAAATCCGTGCCCTGGATTCAGTGCATTGTTGTTAAGAGTTAGTACACACTCGACTGTACAGTACTAAACGTACTGTGCATTCAGTAAAAGGAAGTTAAAAACATGCGGTAAGAGACATGAAAAATGCTACAATCTTATAGTTCCAGAAAAAGATCAAACTGGTAAGAATAACCACTATGTAGCCAACTCTCAGCCCCCGGCAACCCCACTGTGCAAGTGTAGTTTCAGTTTATACATGTTTTTTGTAGGTAGATTCTAAGGGACATTTATTTTACAATTATGATTTCTTTTTTTTAAGAGTTGTTGTAGCGAGTACAGTTCTCCATTGTGAGAACAATAAAGTGTTATCTTAAGTCAGACACCACAGTACATGCATTGCAGCTAGTGTTATAGAGCAAGACACAGGCAGAAGAACCACACACAAATACACACTGTCATCAATACATGTCATATTAGTAATACTGTTAATGTAAATGTGGGTGATATATTTTAATTTTGTAAATTTGTCTGACAGGTACACCTTTCTTGGCGTCGACTGCCTCTGCTGACATCAAATCCAAAAACCGAGTCACTAGACTACTTCATATGGACAGTGTCGTTCACATCATCGCTAGCCCTAACAAGACCAACATCCGTCTTGGATTGCGCAAGGTGCCCAGCAATGAACTGAACTGCTTAGACTGGATTGTGCAACATGTAAAGGACAAGGGCTCAACCATGCAGCCTGTACTTATTTACTGTCAAAAAATGACAACAGTGAGGAGGGTCTTTTCTTACTTCAAGGGGGAACTGCAACAGTACGCCTGGGTAGACTGTGATCAAGAGCATAAACGTGAGAACCTCCTGATAGGTATGTTTCACAGCAAGTCCCTCCCCCAAAACAAGGACAGAGTGTTGGCTTCACTGAGGGGGCAAGGGAATTGCTGTGTAGTAGTTGCAACAACAGCTTTGGGAATGGGCCTGAATTTCCCTAATGTTTCACTTGTGGTGATGTATGGTGTTCCAGGGGACCTAGAGTCCATAATACAACAGGTGGGGAGGGCTGGAAGAAATGGTCAGCCAGCTCATGGCATCATATACAACACTGGAAAGAATTATAAGACTGAAGAAAAGGTAAAAGAAGTGCTTGCTCTTCGCAATACATGTTTCAGGAAAATTATTTTCTCACATTTTGAGGCTGAACCCAGCCTTGTAGAACCAGGCCATCTATGTTGCACTTACTGTCATACTGTTTGTTCTTGTTCATCTGGCACATGCAAAGAACCCACCCCAGATTATGAACAGATTCAGGGCAAGCCGGTTAACTTGAGATCTAGGCACGTGACTGCAGAGGACAAGTCTTTGATTGCATATTTACTGAATGGATACAGAGCCAGCCTAATCACTCCATCTACGCGGCTCTTCACCTCACCTGAATTGTGCACTGGATTCAGTCAACAACTGGTGGACTGTGTATTGAACCATTCTCAGTTTATATTTGACCTGTCATACATCATTGCCAACATTCCTGTCTTCAGATTGGAGCATGCCAAGGAGATTTTAAATATCATAAGTGATGTGTTTGGAGATGTGGATGCAGATCAGCATGCAGAACAGCCATCCGATTCAGGGGGGGTTACACTGCGCCAGATCTTTATTACAGTTGCTATTTTGACACTGCTGATGATGATGATGATGATGAACTCAGGAGCCATGTTAGTAGCTCAGTCAGAGCAGTAATTTCAATGAGAATTTCATTTACTTCTGTGTGTTCACATCATTGGTTACTCATTGTGCATATTTTTGGAAAAGTTTCTCATTTGTACATTTCTACAATCCAAAACTGTCCTTAATAAACCTGATTATTTTCTTCAAAACATGTTTGTAGGGTCTTAATTCAAGTATATAACAAGATGCATGTCTATGGCTTCTGTAGAAAGGTTAACTAGGAAAGACATACAAAATATACTGTAGTGTACTGTAGATTTTTTATTTAACTAATGTGTATGTACAACATCTATATACATGTGACATAGTTCAAGCAAGCCTGAGATCTGTACGAAACAAGTACGAGGGTATGGTAAAACCAGGCTAGGTAAGAACAAAGCGGCGTCTTGTCAATTATCAAACCGAGCTTTAGCAAATGCGATGCTATATTGTCTTCCTTCTTTTCGAATACTAATTTGCTGTTTCCAATAACTCCACCAACTCTTAAATTTGTCTCGCAAAGCCTGCAGCTATCGTTCACAGCCATCTTCGTCTCCAAACCCGCATTTCTCTCTCGGATACAACTTCCTTAGCCTGGTTTTACCATACCCCCGTACTTGTTTCGTACATCCCGGGAAAAAAGATTTGACCGGAGTTTACGGATGGCAAAGGCCAGGCTACAACTTCCTGTAAGCGTCACTTCTTCTTGAAATTTCCGGCATGCTGTATGCAGGAATGCACAAGGCTGCCCCCAAGAGTTATGATAGCTTGCGTCACTCACTCGGGCGCATAACATACGTCACAACCAAACGCTAGTGATTGGATAAAATCAGATCCAATCGTTTCTAACTTTAAACAAAGTTAACCCCTCCCACTTGTAAACGGAGCTCAATTGAGAAAGTCCAGACCCTCTGTACGAAACAAGTACGAGGGTATGGTAAAACCAGGCTAACCCCTCATCTAAATATTGTCATGTAATGACAGTTTTTAGAGTAATTAAATTAAAACCAGCCGCAGCAAATACACGGACGTAAAAAGCCTTTAATCAATGCAGAGACGACCTTCTGGAACGCCATGCTGAGCTTTGTGAAGGTCTCTGCTGTCTGTCACACCCTTGTGTCTTTCGTATCTTGCATCTGTATGCCTGCATTTCTACCATTGTCTGTCTGTTCGCACCCCCATGCCACTGTGTCTGATTGCCTCACCACGGGGATGGCGCCTCGCCCTATGCGCCTCCTGCACCGGTGGCCCCCTCCCATCTGTTGTGGGCGTGACTGTCTTTCATGTGTTGTCTATGTAAACAGGAAGTTGAGCTCTGCGCCCCAGAGCTGATGCATGCTGCCTTTGTGTATGATGAGCTCTCCGCACGTGTGTACAGTAAACTTACGCTTCTGATTAAGACAAAGACCTCTGAGCTTTCTCCTTCATTGGGGTATGTAATTCTACAACAATTTGGCGTTGCTGACATGTCTTGGCATGGATCTTTTCGGCGGGGACGAGCGGCTTTGTTTGGCCGACCTGGAAACAACACCAGCCTCTGCTCTATTTGGAGACAAAGGAGGGCGCGCTCGTCCGGCGCATGGAAGGAATCTTTTGCCACACAAGACCAAAAAGAACCTAATTTGGTGAGTTTTGTCTTTTCATCTGCGTAAACGAGCCCAGGGCAGCACTTAAGTGTACACGGGGATTTGTTTATTTATGTATTTTTGGGGTATTTCATTCATTGCCACAGCATAGACTGTGTGCGGGATTTTTTGGGGTCTTTTGTTCTAGATTGAAGCTAGCGGCTGCGCGTTAGTAATCGCTCTGTAAGCGACCCTGATAATTTCTCTAAGTGTCTTCAGCCAGACCCGGTCCGTTTCAAGAACGCGCGCTCGTTGGTTGAACCAGCGGGGGGGGAACGGAGCGCCCCAAAGTGGGTAGGAGCAGGGAAGAGACTAAGCGGGTTAGGTCCATTGTTCGTACGAGAAAATGGGGAAAAATCAATCTAGAGATGCA